AAACTGGTGAGCTGGTGATATGCTGTTTAGTCTAACAAGGACCAATGGGAGCAATTAGAGGCCAGCAAGAGTCACAGTGGTTTCCCCTGTGTGTTCAACCCTGCCTTCTGAGGGCTATCCCCTCCTCACTCCTTTTTAATTTGGATCTCCATGCACAAACATGCTTATTTTCCTACAACAACACAGACCAGAGACCTGTCTCGTAAATCAGGATTACATACTTTCAGACAGGACCTTCTCTGAGTTGTCTGATAACTTTACAGAGACAGTAATTACTTCTACAAACAAAAGAGGGTAAATAAACTCCCTCTGGTCTCAAGTGGACTGAGCTGTTGCCTGTGGGGTCTACGAAGCCCTAAGCGTCTTTAAGCCACAGCAAAACAATTACAGCTAGCACCGAGATGTCTTTTCTGGGAATTGAAACTGAAACTGAGTTCATCTTTCCGAGATCAAGAGCAAACAAATCCCGTATTCTCTCCTGAGAGGTTGGTCATTTGGGCCGTGTTTGAAGTGTGTTCTCGGAAAGCTCCCCCTGCATTTTCTTGGGTGTGATTAAACTGCTGACGTTGGGAAAACTTTGCTCAGTGTGTTTATGGACGCAACGACTCAGCTGATTGTGTATCACACACACACACACACACACACACACACACACACACACTCACTCACACACAGCCGGTTGAGGTGAAGTGCCACCCACCATTCACCAGCTGCTGGGTGGGAGTCAGTTGTTGTTGACCATGAGATAACATAATGCAAATTGTCTTGTTTGATAAGGGCAGTTCGTCTATTATGACGGGAAACTGAATCTCTTTAAGTTTAAAAAGAAATGAAAAAAACAAAAACAAAGAATATTTAGCATTTTATCGATTGTGACATTTTTTTGTTTAATTTTGGTTGATGGACTTGATGGATTGTTTGAGCGCTTTACAACTCGACAATCAATTATCTCTAGCTTTGCAAACACACACTGCAGCCAAAACCAACTAAAGCAGCCGCCTGCTATTTGTCTTCCCGTTTAAATTACAGTCTGGTGCAGCCCGAGCCAAAGCTCTATTAAATTGTTGAACATTTTGGGGAATTACCCTTATTTGCTTTCTTGTCAGATGAGAAGATTGATACCACTCATGTATCTGCACCCTAAATATGGAGCCTTTAAACAGGGGCCAAAGCTAGTCTGGCTCTGCCGGTCATTATGCTAAGTTAAGCTCATAACATCCTGGCTTTAGCTTCAGATTTCAGAGGTCCTTTCTCATTGATTATTTATGGGAATTCTTGCTAACTGTGAGATATGCTGATAAGACTCTATTTTGTTCCAAGAAGCAAGTTTACTGAGTTATCTGGATGACTTTGCTGATTAAAACCTTGAAGCATCTAAAATCTGGAGCTTGGGCTTGTGTCAGAAGTCCATTGTTTTTCTCAGAAAGGTTTTCCAGCTAACTCAGTTGAAATAACCTCCTTCTCGGAACAGGCCCCAGATTTACATTGCTGAGCAGACAGACACTCAAATTGTTATTATAAAAGTCAAATGGCAGGCGGTGTTTTCAGTAGCAGACCCACCCAAAGAACATGAGTGAGACTTAAAGAAGACGTTATGTTTTCATAAGCGGATTATGTTTTCAAAATGGTTGTCAAGGAAGTCAGAGATAACGTCTCAGTATGCACCTGCACATACACGTACACACTGCGATTGCACAGGTGAGCTGATCCAAAACTGGATATGACGATTGGAAACCAGCCAATTCTCACAAACCCACACAACCAGCAGCTGTTATTATTTATCATACCTCTATCGTTATGCTTCCCGCTCTGCCAAACTCTGCAGTAAACACACCTCCACCTGCAGTAGTAAGAGTTCAAGAATTTATTACACACAACCGAACACTCGAGGTATGCACCTAAGGATTTCTCACACACTACAGGTCTGGTGTGTTTGCTTCAATGCAACATACATGGGCAACATGCCAGAGGAGGATCTTGCAACCATAAAGGTGCCAGTCAGACATCTTAAAACATGCTCCAGATGGAGTACAGGTTTAATAGGAAGGTATGCAGCGCTGCAACTGTGCAAAACAAAATGCAGCAGAGGCTGGAGTATGAAATTACAGGTTGTCATGTTCTGTTCTGCTTCTATAGCAAGTAAAGATTTATAGCCTGACATCAACCGTACAAAAGACTGCAGGAGCTCAACATGGAGATTTAAAGGTCTCCCTGAATACTAATTTCCTGTTTTACTGCTACAGGATACACTTTTTAGTAAAATTTCCTACATTTCAGATGAGTTCTTCTGGATGGACGATTATAAAAAGACTTGAGCTGTGATGGCTGATTTTATTTGTTGAGCTTGGGAGAGAAGACAAAGCTCTTTGTTTGCAATGTAATGTAAGAGGTTATGTTCATATCTGGCGCATGTTTCAACACTGCAACAGTAGTTTTCCACCAGAAAACGTTCATGTGGGCTGGGCACTTGTACAACATGACACAGTAACTAACTAATCTCTAATAATCTTGTTGATCCCAGTTGATGGGAATCTTTTCAGTGAGAAAATGCAAAAGGAGACAAGGTTCAGAATAGATACCAAATTTCTGAGTTATTGTAATGAATATTATATCGATATTCCTTCCTCATCTTCTACTTCTTTCTCTATAAGCCCAATTTTAATATAGAAGCAGAGTTAATAAACTGTGCACTGCACCTACTCAAAATGAGAAATAAATGAGCTCAGCCATTCTGCAGAGAGCGTCTCAGTCGATGTAAAAGCCTGCCAAGCATGTTTCATTGGCACACTCGTTTATCAAAAGACCAACACAAGGTCAAAAATATGTTTTTTGGAGGGGAAGGCAGGCCAGTTTGAAATATTTAGCAATAGAGCGTTGTTGTGTTGATGTTCAAAGAACACAGATCCATGGATCACAGTTTTTGTTACTGTCGACAATCTCCTGGCAGGATGAGAATGCTGAAGTACATCTTAGAGCTGTAAAAAAATGTCCTTTAAGGGTGATACACCTGTTGAATAAATCTTTAAACTGACATATGTTCAGTTATTTCTTTTTTAATGCCTAAACTCCCCCTCTTTGTTATCTGTTTCAGCAGCCAAGTATATTTTGAAGGGATGTTTGATGCCAAAGTGGAGTAGACAAAATGTCCAAGCCAAATAAGGAAAACCAGCATGTGGTAGAAGGCTGGTGTTGAATTGGTTCCTTAATTAGCTCGTGCTTAATTAGCTTGGACTGTATAGGAAGATATGACTGGCGTTTATTTAAAGAGTTTCTTGCAAAGGAGGTGCGTGCTGCAAGGAGCTGCTCCTCAGAGTGGAAACCCACTGTTTCACAAACAATGCATAACCTAACGTAGAGAAGAAGCCGCCACGTCTCGTGCACTTTAAAAGGTCGTGCAGTGGAGAGTGTACAGGCACGTGCTTGTGCTGTACGCTGTGAACGCTTAAAGGGAGAAATATAAATTCACTCCGCCAGTGGCATTGCAGTATGTTTCTATATATATCAGACTGCTCTAAGAGGATGTTTTGGAAAGTTTGCTACACATTTGCCCTTTGACTTTATGTCTGAAACTCTTGTGTGTAATACTGGGAGTGTGTGTAAGGAAAGAGCAGAGGGCTGTCAGGCTGAGAATATGCTAATAAAGGTCAGTCAGACAGAACGATGCTGCAGTATAGCAGGCTGGATAGACTCCCCTGGCACACCTTTAAGGTAATGGCCTACTAAACTACAATTTGTGGATGAGTGGATAACGAAAACAGTCTTAACTTTTGGGAAATTCATCACACGTTGTCCTTCTACCTCCCACACATTCAACCAGACTCAATGATTGTAAATTAAAGCTGTAGGAACCATGGGTAACTACACAGTTTGCTGCTCAAAACCGATAACTTTTACACATATTACTGGAAAATTTGTTTTTAAATGTCATATAGTATTTAATTGTTGACTAGCTATATATGTATATTCGTATGGCAGCTGAGCTTTGGACAGCTGGCAGACATCAGGAGACACAAACATCAAATGTTTGCAGATGATAGTTTACAAATCTGCACAAAAAGATGAAAAAATGAATTCATGTGTGCTCTAACCATTGTCACGTTCATGTAGAATAATAGTAATATATATATTTTTCTTGTCTTTTTAAGCTTTGTAAATCTAATTTGCCACTGTTTCATCTTTAGTTAACCTCTCCAGGCCCCAAATATGCAATTCCATGCCTTTTGATGGTTTTTCATAATTGTTCCAATAATGCAAAGAGACATACTTAAAATGTGTAAATGAGGGAAACACGCTTAATGTCTCAGAGGCTGACGTGATACATTCAGATATGGAGTGGTTTTCTGAAAAAGGCAGTTTCATTGTTCAATTAGTTCAGAGTTATGGCTGAAGTAGCACAGTCACGCCCTTGTTAGCTGGCAGTGGGACTGTCACCTCGCAGACCATCAAGTGACCCAGTGAAGCGGAAGCTGGAACAGCGTGTACCAAAACAACACCATCATCAACATCGACAGTTAGAGCAGACACTTGGCTTTTGTTCAGCACGGGTCACCGTGGTGGACAGTGACCGGACAAAAACCGATTCACTGTCACCACCCAACCTAAAATCCCATCCCACGCCCTGCTGATGATGACCCTGATTTGGTCTCAGAACCGCCGCAGGAAAGTGAAACACTCCTGCATCCTGTCCTGCTATTAAAGTAACTCAAATAATGTGATAACAGACAAATGTTTTAATATTGCTGCTGTTTTCTCTTTGATAAAACACTCACAATTACCAGCTGGTATCAAACTACTGTTTAACAGCCTAGGTGAGGGTTTTGTGATAACAGACATGTATTTGACACTGATGCCCCCTGCTGGTCAGTTATAGTAACAGCAACAATTAAACAGACCCATAGTAAAACTACAGACCTTGGGTTTAATCTGATGATAAAACAATTAATTTATATAAGGTGGTAATCTTATAATCTATGTTTATCCACTACAGTACAGTTTAATGACCACTGACCACTGAGTCCTATGATGACTTCAGCTGCCTCCTGAGCTCTGCTAGCTGTCTCTCCATGTGGTAGATATCTTCAGACATTTGCCTAAAGCAGACACAGTTCAGTAATGTTTAATATGTGGAACCTTATTGCCACAGCTTGGAGCAATTTGCCTCTAAACAACCTCCTGGGTGGTTCAGTAAATTATTTTCCTGTCGTATTAATATGAAAATTCTTACTTTAAATGCATAAAAAACGACTAGATTTGTTCCCTATTTATGGCTTTTGGTTTGTTATCTATACATTTAGAATTAACATCTGAGAGAAACATTAATAGAAATTCCCATCCCTAAATATGCACTTTTTAGGTCTATAAAAAAAAGATGGTATCATGTATTTGCATATATTTTTTACCTGTGGACAGCCTGAGCCCTGCTCAGCTGGCAGTGGAGTCGCTTTATGATGGCTTCATAGCGCCTATTCTGAATCTGGAAACACACAAATTCAATTTGATACGTTTTCAATGGGAATAAAACTTAATTTAAACATGATGTGTCTCCCCATTATTGTAATTTTATAAGCAAAAATGGCAAAAAGTCACAATTTCCAGCTTCCCAAATGTGAATATTTTCTGTTTTTCATGCTCATCTGTGATAGTAAACACACAATATCTTAAATTCACAACTTCTCTTTGCCATACCTCGACATCTTTCTTTATCTGGGCCTGAGTCTCAAACTCTTTTCGTAGTCGTTCTTTCCTCTCAGCTGTAGTCTTCCTCCTCACAGAGATCTCCCCCTTCAGAGCATCAATCTCTCTCTGCAGATAATGCATCAAAAAAAACAACAACATGTTATGTAAGGTTTAAAATGTGAATATAACTCAGGATCATCCAGTTCATTTTCTCCACCTTTGCCATTTGCACTGTGTTTCCATTTGGATTCTCCAGATCTTCCCTCAGCTCCTCTTTCTTCTGTGCCAGCATCCTGACCAGCGCTCTCTTCTCTGCAAGCTCTTTATAGGCCTGCGTCTGGCTCGCCGCATGCAAAACTGCTGCTCTGTGAGCCTCCATCTTGTGTCGGTAAGTGTTGAACCTTTCCAATGCCATGCGAGCCTTCTCTTCCTCTTCACTTACACCAATCTGGAGCTCTGTGTTTTCCTTGCTGATGGATACACAGCGAGCAGGCAGCACTTTTGTCTGCCGCTCCAGGCGCTCCAGCTCGCCCTCCAGCATCAGGATCTCCCTCGCTTTAGATCTCAGCTCCTGCTCCGCCGTCTCACCTTTCTTCTCAACGTCTGAAAGAATTACCTGGAAAAGAAATCACGACATCCAAATCAGCTTTTGTCTTTTGCATGAAAAGGGAAAAAATACAACATTTTCCCAACAATTTTAAGGATTTTAAGGGCCGCACATATATACAAAGTTGTCTATTATGGATGCAGACAACTCTCTGTAACTACATATGCAACTTACATACTGCAAATATTAATGAGTAAGTCCTTTACTGACTTTAAACTAACCTGCACACACGGGTATCAGTGCCACCACATTATAAGCTATGTGTTAAATAAATATGTAGTAATTCAAATTAATTATTTGAATTAAAAAGGGGTTAAAGGTGAACCTGCAGGGAGCTGAGTGTCTTCTGTTTCTCTTTCAGGGCCTCAGTCTGGGCAAAGCCGTGTTGACTGACATCCTCCACCGCCTTGGTTAACGAGAACTGCTTCTTCTGTGCTCCTGAAGGGACAGTTAATAAAAGTGTATTAAGGTTTCTAGTTAATGTAGGTACTCATATTTCCAATTATGAAGCCTAATTTGACAGTAAAGACGGTAATTTATGTCTTGTTAGCAGTAAATGCTGACATAGATTAGACACAGAAAACAAAATGTTAGGGAGTGGCTGCTAGTTAACTAACGGTGTCAAAACAGGTTTAAAGCTTTTTTTATAGGCTAAAAACACAATTTTATATATTATTTTTTGTCAATGAACAAGTATTAACAAGTTATTAGCCACAGTTAATGATATTTATGATCTTACCATTATCACTGGCTCTGAAGTTTGACATTTTGACATCAGCCAACGTTAAACCGTTAAACCGTTAAACCGTCAGTTATCCTAAAGGCCTACCGTAGTTTTAGTTAACGTTTTTTTTTAACCAGTAAAAATAAATAAATATAAAATTATGTTTGCATGTTAAGCAACTGAACATGTAAAGTGTGATTTAATTTAAAAAAAAACTACAAATATTAACTTTAAAAATAATTAGCCCAACGGCCGATACAATGGCACTACAGTTCCCAGAGTTCAGTTCGTGAGTCTCCTCGACCTTGCGCCCTAAACTACTTCCGGTATCTCTTACGGGCTAACCGCTGTTGTAGTCTTTGAGGGTCTTTTGTAATCACCGTGTGAATAGTGATTTAATTCACTCATTGTTCGGTAAATGAAGTCAAATGCTCGCCAGCCGCTGCTTTCGGTTGTGCTCTCTATGTAGCCGTGTAGTTTATAACAGCAGCAGAGGAAGAGGAGGAGGAGGAGGAGCAGGAGGAAGGAGGACATTGACAGGACACACCGGTCTGAAATATGCTAACACCACAGTGGGGCAACGCTGGGGCACAGCAGCACCTAAACGCCTCTGCCACAGTGATGTGGAGGACTTGTACAAGAGCGAGTCTGTTCAGAGGTATCTCCAGCAGCTCATGGACGAGCACAGGGACATCAGCAAGAAGTTAGAGCACCCATATCTCAGCGAGTCTGACAGAAAGCTGCTGATGAAGAGACACACAGAGCTGCTGCCTCTGGCAAATGTGTTTGAGAGTACTGAGCAGGCCCTGAAAGACCTTGAGGAGGTCCTGTCACTTCTGCACAGTGAGGAGTTTCTGTATTTCTGTCTAACAATTGTCCAACTATAAGTAGTTCTTTGGTATTTGCACAGTATTACAGAGTCTTGCAGAAAGGTACTGCAGGGTCTTTTAACTCCAAAATATCTGTGAATGTAATTAACCATATTCTGCTGCAGGTTCCTCTGGTACCAAGGATGAAGATACTCAGTTGACCCAGCTGTTGAAAGAGGAGGAAGCACAAATCTCCCACAAGATTTTAGCCTTGAGAAAAGATGTGAGAACACAAACGTGGGATCGAATATGTGTATAAATGTGTTATTGAACAGTTTATGTTGATGAGTTTATCTTCTTTCTCTCCAGCTGATCAAAGCTCTTGTGCCCTCTGACCCTCTTGACTCCAGTGATATTCTGCTGGAGGTTGTATCAGGACGAACAACAGGAGGTATGAATGTGCTTACTTGGTTTCTCACAGTAAAAATGTCTCCAGCTGTAACATACAAGTATCTAGTTGTATGATTGGAAACTACCATTTCAAATACGTAATGTTGCTGACAGTCTTTACAGCCTCTTACTATCCATTTATGTGGTTTCAGGTGACATCTGTCAGCAGTTCACCAGAGAAATGTTTGACATGTACAAGGGTTTTGCCTCTTACAAGAACTGGGACTTTGAGGTTTTTAACTACACAAATGCTGAGTATGGTAAGTCATATTATGGCTATTTAATCGTGTTGGTGCAGAGACATTGCAGAGGGATATTTTGTCACTGTTAATGTTTTTAGCTTATCGTCTACAGCTGCATTCATTGGCTGTGTCTGTGTCTCAGGTGGTTTGCACCATGCGGCGGTGAGAATAGCCGGGGAGAATGTGTACAGATACCTGAAGCATGAAGGAGGAACACACCGGGTGCAAAGGATCCCCGAGGTGGGCCTCTCCTCCAGGATGCAGCGTATCCACACGGGAACCATGACTGTCATTATCCTGCCGCAGCCAGTGGAGGTACACTCCGCTCTTGTCTCTTTATGACTGGCTTTTATCATCAGTCTGTGTTTATCAGCGTCTTTATTTTTGTCCCACGTGTGTTTCGTGTTCACAGTTCGACGTCCACATTGATCCAAAGGATCTTCGCATCGACACGTTCAGGTCTCGAGGTGCTGGGGGCCAAAGTGTCAACACAACAGACAGTGCAGTGCGCATCGTTCATCTTCCCACAGGTGAAGCTTGTTCTCAAGCCGCTCCAGCCTACAGACAGTTCTGCTTTCATTTCATATAAAATATAAATCAGGCCTCGTCACCATCTGTTTTTCATTGTTATCTGAACAGGTATAATAGCTGAGTGTCAGCAGACTCGCTCTCAGCTGCAAAACAGAGACACCGCCATGGGTTTGCTGAGGGCCAGGCTCTACCAGAGCATTCTGGGTAAAGAGACGGAGCAGAGGTATACGCAACGAAAGCAGCAGGTGAGCGAACTCCTTGTGTACCAGTGAATATATGTAATATTCAGAAATCTTTTTATGTCATCTTTCTTATCTGTTAACTAACTTCAGGTGGGCACACGCTCTCAGTCGGAGAGGATCCGCACCTACAACTTCAGCCAGGATCGTGTCACAGACCACAGGACTGGATATGTTACTAGAGACATTAAGGTTAGATATTAAGGGAGTGTCAGTCATGTCACATTGTGTTTTGGTAATATAATTTTTTTTAAAAACTGATGTAAACAGTCAGGTTCATTAACTCTTTGTGGTTCTGGTCTGTGTTTAGGAGTTCATGAGAGGAGGGGAGGCTCTTGATGATCTGATCTGTGACGTACTTGAACACACAGAGAGGGAGGCTTTTATAGAGGTGGTGGAGAAGAGCCTGAAACCATCAGTATAATGTATGCTTGTGCTTGTGTTTTCTTTTTTTAAATAAAATATTAAATTATGTATATTGTGTTATGGTAATTCCCTAAATGACAAAGTACAATTTTCTTATTAAACTTTTAAAATACAACTATTATACACTGGTACAAACTTCACAGTAAAGCTGACCTATTAAACTGACTGTAAACAGACATCAGGGTTGTTTATTGTCAGTAAGTATCCTTCGTGGTTATTTGCCAATCAGGGTGTGGTAAAACCAATCTATCAGCTTTATACACACTCTCCCCAAAAGCATGTCACACCCTGCGTGTGTGTGTGTGTGCCAGCTGACCAGCAACCTGAAGTCATCTAACCTCTTAGTAACTGTTTTCTTCTTCACCTCAGCGGTCTGAACTGTTTTCAAACTAATTCTGCTCGCAAAATTATGTTTTCGGTATCTGAACAGTCATAAAATACAGACATCCTAAATTTAACATCTTTAATCACTTCTATCCAAACTGCTTTATGAAAGTATGACATTTTAACTGACACACATTGTAATGATATTTTCACAGAGGTGCTTACAATGGTAAAAAAAAAAAAAAAAAATACAGATATGAAAAATACAAAAAATTCTTTGAGTTGCTCTGTATATGTACATCTGCTACCAGACTTTATGAAGAAATTAATAAAATGATCAAACTGGGATGCTGACAATATTGTATAAGACTATAAAAGGTGTTGCACACCTTCATTATGACAGACCTCAGTACAAAGAAAAGAACATGGATTTTTTTTTTAAGAAACAGGGTTTCTCAGGTCAATGTGTCCCAAAAATGTTGATAAAAAAAAGATATTTGTGCATCTTGGTTAAAAAAAACAAACTCCTAATGCATTTAATTCACGTCCAAGATCAAAAATGGTGCATCGGTTCCAAGAAAGAGTTTTTATTTGTGTAAAAGTCTCCTGCGTTCTGGCTTGAAGTTGTTCTATGTTCGGGTCAGTCATCGTCGTCTCTCTGTCGGAGGCTCCTGGATTTGCCGTTCTGTGTCTTGTTTCTCCTGAACGAAGTGGGTCCGCCTTCCTCTCCGAGGGAGGTGATGATGCGTTCCTTGAACTTCGGTTTTGGCTCTGGCGGCAGCTCGGCGGGAGCGCTGGCCGTGTTTCCTTCCACCTGGGGCAGCTGTAAGTCCACGCTGGCACTGTAGAGGAAAGGAAAAAGGGAACCGTTAGAGCCCATTTGACACATATTTATTCTTTATCAGGGTCTGTAGGCTGGTGGATCAATATATCAGTATCCTTATCAACCATTTAAACAACACTTACTATGGATCCTTCTCTTCCTGGATCTGTTCCCAGACCCCATATGGATTTGCAGCTTTCGGCCTTTTGGCTTGCGTCTTCCGCTGTATCGGCTCTTCTTTCTTCTCCTCAGGTTTAGCTGTCGTGCTTTGGACCTCTTCCTCTTTTTTCGCCTCTTCAGCGTCCTCTTTAGGAGCCTCCTCTTTAGGAGCCTCCTCTTTAGGAGCCTCCTCTTTAGGAGAATCATCACTTGCTTTATCTTCTCCCTCTTTTTCTGAGGGCTCGTCTTCTGCTTTTCTTTTCTGAAAAAAAAAAAAAAAAAACAAGGTAGAAAAACTGTGAGGTTTGGAATTTTTTGTTTCTACAGAATCTTGACAAGCAGATGTTAAAATTCTTCTCATTCGCTGCCAGGACTCCTCTTACCCTGAAGCTGATCTTCGGGACTTTAGGCTGCTGGCTGGCTTGTTCAGGGACTTCACCCTCTTGAGATGCAGGGGCCTCATTGGAGCCTTCCTCTGATCCCGAGAGTGGCTCCGGCTGAGGGGTTGAAGGCTCTCCCTCTATCTTGGAGCCAGATCCAGAAGCCTCATCAGAAGGAAAGTCTGTTGGCTTCTCCCAACTGGACTCTAAGGGGTGAGGAAGATATCAGAAAGAATAAGAGGGGGAATCCAGAAACAGTAACACCACAACTTGAATGAATTCAGTGGTAATTTAAGTTAATTTTAGATGAGGACATTTTTTTCTACCTCCAGTCTCTGAGTTGTAGTAATATGTGTAACCTTCAGGACTGACAGCTTCCATCCAAGGACAGCTTGAAGAGCTCTAAAGAAAGAAACAATATTAAAGTATAAATGCATGTTATCAGCAACCAACAGAGCATAATACCTAGTTTAAAATAAATATGCAAAAAATGCACAGAAACTAAATATATATTAACCCCAGTCTGTCCAGGCGGTGGAGGGACTGAACTTCCTCCCTGGAAACCTTCTTCTGGTTTTACCCATTGAGATTCTGTAGTAAAAAATACAAACAAAAACATTGAGGTAATGTGTTCGCATACAGGATCCTTTCAAAGAGGAGTTGTGTTTTCAGGTTATGCCCACCTCCAGTTAGCGTGTTGTAATAGTATGTGTTTCCATCATCTGTTTGTCCTTCAATCCAAACCTGTGCTTCCATTTGGTCTCTGAACTTCTTGTTGGCTTTATTTTTCTTTTGTTGTTTTTTGCCCTGGGGTTTTGGCTGATGTTTTGGCTGAGGTTGTACCCGAGGTTGTACCCGAGGTTGTGCCCGAGGTTGTGGCTGTGGTGTTGTTTGGGCCAGTGAACCTTCTCCTAAGACAAAAACACTTCATTTAAAATGTTATCAGTAAACAACATCTCCCCCCAAAGTAGCCTCCGTGTTACACATTATTTCAATAAACAAAAATTACCTGATGACTCCCTTTCCATCCGCTTCAGATCTTCTTCATATGCCTTCAGCGCGGCCTCCTCCATCGCCGCAAACTCTTTAGACATACGCTCCTCCTGCTTCGCCTTATCAATGCTCTTCTTTTTAATCTACGGGGGAGAAAGATCGGATGAAATGAGTGGCTCCGGCTAGCAGCCAATAACAAGAGAGCTTGAGAGTCAGATGGTTATGTCTGGACCTTATCTCTCCTGCCAGTCCTGAGAGCGGTGCCAAGAAGTGCCCATTTTTTTCTTGGCTGTCAGTAATTCATGCCTGTTTAAGTCCCCGAGAAGCCTCGTTAATGAATACTGATTATGTATTATCTGGGTTTTATAGCCATGTGAATCTATGGTCGTCTGTGTGCTTGTGAATCAGCAACCCAGAATCACATGGCTTTGTAACACTTCAATTTAATGGTTAAAAACACCGAAAGAAAAGCTATATATAAACGATAATACCTCAGAGATCTTCGCAGTGACATTTTCTTTGTGGTTCTTCCCTCTTTCGTGGAACTCAACGCTCTGCAGAGCAACACAAACATGAGGACAAACATTAGCAGCATGTAAACACTGTGCTCAGCAACGTGAGCTGCAGCTTTCTTTTTTCTTTTTTCTTTTTCTTTTCCACCCACTCACAGGTTTATTGTCTGCAATCCAGCACTTGCAGTACTGGCAGAATTTCCTGGGTTGTGACTTCCAGTAGTCAGCCCTGAAAATGGACAAGACTGTTAGATAGTAAACAAAAACATGACTGGATTACCTTTAGCACGGACAGCTAACGCGGCTAACAGGCCGAGTTAGTTCATTATTTTAACATTGTGTGAGATTATCGTGATTCAACGTCACACATCAAGTGTCTCCGAGCGTGTCTCGATACTTACATCTTTGAGTGTTGGTGGTTAACACAAGCCGGAGGGGTCAAAACCAACCGGATAGAAACACCACCGCGTCCCACATTACCGGGATGACAACAGGGTCAACTTGTGATGACGACATCGCCAGTCGCCGTACAGACGAGCGCTGTTGACTGTATATTATTATTTTCTGTTTTTCAGAGTCCAGTTTTCCCAATTATCCATTTGAAGTTTGGGAAAGGTGGGACGACAGGAAATCTGTACCACAAAAGGATGACAGTAACAGTGGATACTTTTCTTTTTCACGCATTTTTAAAATGTATTGTGATGTATTCCGTTAGTGATGTTTGGACATCATGGCTTCCCATATGGTCTAGCGGTTAGGATTCCTGGTTTTCACCCAGGCGGCCCGGGTTCGACTCCCGGTATGGGAACTTCTCCTTTTGCCCTTTAATATATGAGTATTTTATAAGAAGGTATATATTTTATGTAAAGTAACCACCGCCAGCTTATTTTTTAATTATTTATAACCATGTTAAAAAATATGAAAATACTATTTTATTTTAAGTAAAAGTTGCGCCAGCAGACATAGAACAGCAGCACGTATTGTGATAGGGATGCATTTAATATAAGATAATGCCTTTATTTATCCCCCTAAGGAGAAATTACAAAATTAATTAATCATTAATTATTGATTATTAATTAATTTAATAATTTACAAAAAGTGTTCCACTAAAAAATATTAAAATTATAATGTAACGAATAAAAGAAGTAGACGATTAATTTAATAATTTACAAAAAAAAAAAAAAAATCAAATTATTAATTTTAATGTAACGAATAAAATAAGTAGACGATATGTACAGCAGTAACTTACTAAAAAAAACTTATATATATATATATAATATTATACAGTTTAACACAATAACGTGAGCTCTTTGCACTGTCGTTGCCATGGTTGTCGCCAAGAACGTCATCACAGTGGGCCAGGACGGACGAGCCGTTACGTTTGAATCAAGCGACTGACCCACCGTCCGTCTTTTGGCTGAGCTTGAGCCGCTTTACCGGCGTCGGTAATCGGTTTGCTGCCCATGAACGGTGCCATGGCCGCGTCCTCACACCGGATAATGCTGGGCCCGCTGGTTGCTGCCATTGACCAGGGGACGAGCTCTACTCGGTTCTTGGTAAGACCCACCGGAACCCACCGGAACCACCGGAACCACCGGAACCAAAGCGGTCCAGTTATATTAAAGCCAGCTAGATGTCTGTATTCCGCCTTTTCGCTGCTTAATCACGTTCAATCAGTCAGGTTTTAGTCACAAAAGTAGTTTTTTATGATCTAAACTGAACCTCAGGGACAAAATCAACATCTGTCTGTGTGAATTACTTCTATAAATCTATAATAATGTATATGTGGAAGCATGAAATGTAGATTATTTACTGTTAATCCAGGGTTTTTATTTTTATTTCTAATTTGTTTTATGATATTTTTTTCTTATATAAGCGGAAGGCCACATTGTGTTTTTGTTTTTCTACCTGCTGGAGTGGAAAGAACAAATTGGGGGATTGTTATAGAATTAAATTATTATTATTATTAATTAATCTTTAATTTTAGTTGCTCATTTAATATTTTGTAATCACTAACTGTGACTTCTCATTTCACTTTGGTAAATGCCACTCGACGTGTGCAGAGGTATTTTTAGCTGTGATAATTGTGCCATTTAAAGGTGATACTTTACAACACTGCTGCTGTACGGTCTCTTATAGACGACAGAGACCGAGACAGACGACCACCCACCTAGAGCCGGAGGGTCTGTCCTAGGTTTCTGTCTTTTAACAGGCAGTTTTTCCTTGCCCTTGTCGCCAAGGTCTTGCTCATGGTGGTACTGTTGAGTCTCTATTTGAAAAGTGTCCTGAGATAACTTCTGTTATGAATTGGCGCTATACAAATAAAATTGAATTGAATTGAATTGAATTAAATAGGTGCAATATTCTAACTTTCAGAGTCATAACTTAGTATAAACGTCACCCGACTGCTGCTCAGTTTGTATTTGAAAAGCAGGTTTGGGATTTAAGTGTGGATCCCACAACTGCCGGGAAATTGTGGGATCAAAAGGGGGAATCAGAAATTCCCTCCAGGATGAACGACTAAAGAGGAGGCCTTGAGCAGGGTTAGAGTGACCAACCCTCCCTGGATGAATAAAGTGATGTGTAGTTGTCTTTTCTCTCTTTTGAAGGTGTTTAATTCAAAAACAGCGGAGCTCCTCAGCCATCACCAGGTGGAAATCAAACAGAGCTTCCCCAAAGAAGGGTAAGTAAGATCCAGATACAGTTGCTGCAAGATGCACACGCGGTTTTAGAAATGCGTAGATTTTCATTTGTTGTGATTTTTTTTCCATCCCGATTTCCAGATGGGTCGAGGAGGACCCCAAAGAGATTCTGCAGTCGGTGTACGAGTGCATGGAGCGGACGTGTGAAAAACTCACCCAGCTCAACATAGACATCTCAAACATTAAAGGTATCCGCACGTTGCTCACGACGCCGCCTCTCACTTTCATTTATTTCAAAGAGGTGTTTCATGATTTTAAAATCTCTGGAAACGTGTGGCTTGGATTTGTCCAGCTATCGGAGTGACCAACCAAAGAGAGACCACGCTGGTTTGGGACAAAGAGACCGGGGAGCCTCTCTACAATGCGATCGGTAGAGTTCTGAATCTCTGTACCACCACTTTGTTTTGTTTCCCTCTTTGTTGCCATGAAAAATAACGAATGGATCATTTTGTTCAGTTTGGCTGGACCTGCGGACTCAGTCAACGGTCGAGCGTCTCATTAATAAAACTCCAGGAAGGAATAAGAACCACTTGAAGGTGAGCTCCTTTCTGTCCCCGAAGAGTTGTTTAATTTCCGGTCAGTTGAAAAAACAGGAGCCTTTTGTTAATGGGTGCACATCAGCTCTTAAGGATTGTAGTTGTCACCATTAGTCACTTTGACACATGGGAAAATAAGTTAGAGTGCACGATCAGGGTCAATAATGGGACATGTATATTATTATAAATTGATTCCAATAATTAAACTATAACTGATAAATTATCCATAATAATATAATAATATATATATATTTTTTATAGGTTTTATGTTCTATGAAAGCCAAAGCTTGTTATGTTTTTTTTATGTTTTTTTAATGTACTTTACTATAAAATAAATGAACATTTGAAGAGTCAGAACAATAGTGATATTAATTACATCTATAAAATCATCCATGTTTGCTCACTACATCTTAGTCTAGTAAGAACTACAGGTTATTAATTAAAAATGATGGTTATCTTATTGGTATCGGACATGAGAAGCCGGTAATTATCAGTTATCATATTGATTGAACCTTGAAAAAGGTTCCAGTTACCCTTTAAGGAGGTTGTATCGGTTGTCATCATGGCCTCTGTTTAATAGTTGGCAATAACTTGGCTGTTATCTCATATTTTCTTAATTCATATTTTATTTCTATATATTTCATTTACAAATGCAGATTTTTGATAACATTGCTCTGGTAGAGTTCATTACATTGTTGTCGTCCTGCAGCATAAAACGGGGCTCCCGATCAGCACTTACTTCAGCGCGGTGAAACTCCGCTGGCTGATGGACAACGTGGACGACGTGCACAAAGCCGTCGTGTCTCACCGCGCCATGTTCGGCACCGTGGACTCTTGGCTCATTTGGGTGAGAGAAGACTCCCTGCTTCAACACAGACGGACTTTTACATCTAGTGATGATTTTAGAGCTGACCCTTGAAAAAACTGACTTGTGTGTGTGTGTGTGTGTGTGTGTGTGTGTGTGTGTGTGTGTGTGTGTGTGTGTGTGTGTGTGTGTGTGTGTGTTTGATGGCTGTCCAACAGTGTTTGACAGGAGGGAAGTCAGGCGGTGTCCACTGCACAGATGTGACCAACGCCAGCAGAACCATGCTGTTTAACATTCACACGATGGAGTGGGACCCAGAACTTTGCAAGTACGACAGTAGACTGTCTCTTATTTGAAAAATACGGCCTCAAAGAGATGAGCTCTTACTTTGAAATTCGTGCCATCGTCATTTATACGCTGTAGATTTAATGTAGCACAGAAATGTGGAAGAAAACAAAATAATGCATCGTCCAAAACAAAACTAAAATTGTGGTTTTTGGGAGTTCAGTGCCTCATTTAACAACAAACAAAGTATAGGTATTAAACATGAAGTAAAGTTAGGAAAACATTTGGCCTAAATATACGTCATGGAGGATTTTTTTACTGGGTATGGAGCAGTTATTTTTAATGCCTGCACCCGTTTGGATTCCCCTTGAAATCAATTAAAGTTCCTTGTAGTGGATTTAATTATTTAAGTGCTGTTGCTCTTTCCTCTAATTCCCATCAGATATTTTGGTATTCCCATGGAGATCTTGCCCAGAGTGAGGAGTTCTTCAGAAATATATGGCCTCATGGTGAGCATGCATACATTTTTCAGTATCTTGCCAACACTGATCTACTTTTAAATTGTAGTGTTTATATTAACTTCTTTTATCCTAATGATTTCATTGTTGTGTCTAGTGTGACTCTAGTGTTGTGTTAAAAGTCTCGTGCAACAGCTCACTAATGAGATAAAAGCAGTTTGTGTGTTTATTTCTGTTCAGTGTGCTTTCAGATTGTGCATGAAGGTTGACTGAGAAATTATTTTAGGCTTTTTTTTTTGTGTGTGTGCCATTGTCTCTCTTCTCTCACTGGTAGAAAATATGTTCTAGCCGGGTAAGTAATACTCGCCATCACTATTTTGCTCATCTTTAAAAGTTAACCCATACTGCTTCTCTGTGGCCAAAGTGATTAGATGATCACACAGTGCATTTCCAAGATTCACACAAAGGCTGATATATCGCTCAGCTGTTCGTTTACTTTGTTTTATTATTAAATGTCGGGAAGTTGTATAAGCGGGTCAGATTCTGGTCTGTTTTCAACCTGCTGTTATTGTCTTATAAATTGAAATTAGGCATTTAACAGCCAAGCATTTATTAAAATATATATATATATATATATATGATTAGCCTTTGATGCACATCACTCTCTTTTGCTTAGTTGTAACTAACTCTTAACTAACATGATTAATTTGCTATCATATATCTTTGCCACTGACTTTATAAAAACATATTACCAAAAAAAGTATTGACACCAGTTTCATGTGAGTAGAAGGAGAAGTTTAACATTTTATAATTGACCTAAAGTACGTTTTTATTAAGTCTTTTCCTCCATGTGCCCTATTATAAACAACAAGCTCATTACGAGTCCACAATTCACTCTTTCGTTGAACTGAGTTGGTAAAACAATAGAATAAAACACCTGTTTTCTGTTATAGGAAAATCTTTCTAAAATATTTTATGAATGAGAGATTAAAGCAGGTTTGTAGTTTTGATTTAATATTGCACAGCTCAATTCACATTAGGCTGCTTAAGGCATCTATTGTGCGACTCTGTGTGACTCTCTGGGTTCCCTCGGCTCAATGGAGCTTCATAGCAACTTAAGCTTGTTTAGTTTTTGTATTCCTGCCTCCGTTTTTGCTGTTTTTGCTCGCTGCCACCGCTCTCTGCAGCACTAAGCGACAGACAGACAAAGTGAGCATAGTGGAGCATTTAGCAGCAAAAGAGCCCTCGGGAGTTAAGAAACAGCCGAAATGAAAGTGAATATTGGGCTCCAGATGAATGCTAATATTTGCTCTTGTGTTGGGTGATCACAGCTTGCTGTAGGTTTAACCAAACAAATAGTTCCATCACATTCACAGAGAAGGTTTAGCAGCGTTTTTTCAGTGATTTCGGACCCTGCAGAGACTCGTACACAAACACGAGGGCGAACATATAAGCTTCATTGGAAATGTGCTGGATGGTCCGTGTCCATTGCTTCTGTTGTGGCATGCTACTCGGCTGGTTGTCATTAACACCCACAGCAGACCATCATCCTCTGCTGCGTCCCATCACGTCTACCTAAATCTCTTCACTCTTTGCCTTTAAACATTTCACCAAAACGACGTAGGAGTGAAGACATTTTAATTTATACAGGTTCCCTCGATGTTACTGTACTTTGTGGTAGAATTAAAATATTTGAGTTATTTGGCTTCAGGTAGCCAAATAATGAGTAATTCCCTTTTGTTTCAGTGTTGTTGTCGGGCAAGGTTGTTGCTCATAGTGATTAAAAACTACGTTTTCCCCTTGATGACTGATTGTATTTGGAATTTCTGGTAAATTATTTATATTTATTTGATATTTTGGCAACAAATATGTATGTATAATTTCAAGTTTTTAATCAGTCATACACATTTTTATTTATAAATGTGAACTAACCAAATGAGCAGATATTTGAATCAAATCCATCCAAAATTGAATAGTTTTAATCTCTCTATTTGATATCCCAAGAGGCCGTTAGAACCAACAATACAACAAATTGCAGATGAAACAAAACACTTAAAATGTTCTTTGAATGTCACAACATTAAAATACACAGTTCACTTATTAAACAAAACCATCTTCTCCCTTTGACAGAAATCTGGAGCTCTTTCAGGTATTCCCATTTCAGGGGTAGGTTCATCTCTAGTTTTACTTCCCAGCATTGTCTCCATGTGCTTGATGTGCTTTGAAGTTTGTTGATAGATTTATGTGTGACCTTTTTAAAAATAGTGTCTCGGGGATCAGTCAGCAGCACTCGTCGGACAGATGTGCTTTCAGGATGGACAAGCGAAAAACACGTAAGTGACTTTGTGTGGCTTTTTTCTGGACTTTCCTTCCAATGTTTGGATTCTCCTTTGTTAGAAATTCAAGTACATTCAAGGTTTATTATGTGTTTCAGGTATGGAACGGGCTGCTTTCTCCTGCGAAACACTGGACCTAAGGTACATTACTGAAGATTTGTGTTTTAAACACTCATACATTGCATTAGTGTGACACCTTTCTGTTGTTTTGCAGCCTGTAATGTCTGATCACGGCCTCCTCACCACTGTAGCGTACAAACTCGGCCGGGATAAACCTGCCTGTTATGCACTGGAGGTACAGTATCTCAAAACACCTATTATTCCTTTTATAATATACTGTATAATCAAAAATATACTCTGTGCACTCCGAGAGCCTTTCAGTTTAGGGTGATTTGTGTTTTTCTTGGCAGGGCTCTGTGGCCATTGCAGGAGCTGTGGTTCGTTGGCTGCAGGACAATCTCGGGATCATCGGATCATCTGAAGAGCTCGGTATGTTTGAAGAAAAATCAAACGTGACGAGCGGCATCTTCAGGGCTGTGGTGTGATTTAATCTCTAGAGTATCTGTACAGGGATAGTAAAATGTGTATGTATACACAGCGACAACAACAACAATTAAGAGCAATTTAAGAAGCTAAAACTGCTATTTAAGAGAAATACACATAGGTATTTCCCTTCATACAACCTGCTTTTCTGTTGTTTTTTTTTCTCCCGTGCAGAGAAGTTGGCTGCATCCGTCGGTACGTCCTACGGCTGTTATTTTGTTCCTGCATTTTCGGGTCTTTATGCACCTTACTGGGAGCCCAGTGCGAGAGGGTAAGACCAAGAACTTCTCTGTATAGTTGTAAACACATCTGATATGATTCACACAGCCTGCTTTAATCCGGAGTCCTACTGCTTTCTCTGTGTCACAGGATCATTTGCGGGTTAACTCAGTTTACAAATAAGAGTCACCTCGCATTTGCTGCTCTGGAAGCTGTCTGTTTCCAGACACGAGAGGTAAAATAGAAATATCTCTTTAAGTTTAACTGCTTTGTGGAGTAGTTCACAAAACTGGGATTTCTGAATACATTTATTTGACTAGAAGGAGGTATTTGTGTAATTATTGGGATATTTGAATGGATGCAGATACTGGACGCCATGAATCAGGACAGCGGCATCCCGCTAACTCAGCTCCAGGTGGACGGAGGAATGACGTCCAACAGGTTGCTGATGCAGCTGCAGGCAGACATTCTCTGTATCCCCGTCGGTGAGATTTCCATTAATGTCCTATCATATTTTTAGGTTTTATGTGACGTGTGTGTCAAAGTGAAAGTGTTGACAGCCATAACAAACTCTGGCAACCAAACTGGTTCTCTTACCCTCAGAGCAGATGACACATTTATCTGATGTGAAGGCAACTGACTACGTTTTAATTATGTTTAGAGAGGCCAGCCTGCATTCGTCTCGCACGCACAACCCACAGATACAGGATGTTTAATGGAAATATATGTCATAAATAATAGTCTATGTCAACACTATTCGCACACTGACGTCCTTTTGTATCTACACTAGAAGCCTCACTGCCCTCTGCTGGCATCATGTGGAATAAATGATGAAGTGAGGAGACATGTCTTACACAGCGGCCCCTAAATATATCCAGATTGATCACAGTGATCAATGTTCACTGTAAAACCTTTAAGTTAACTCAAAAACATTCTTGATTAAGCAGTTTTTACTTGTAATTTTAAGTGACACTGACTTAATCTTTATTTGTACTTTGTAAACAAAATACTTAGTTAAAGGTACTTCATCGGGAATGTTTTTATAACTTAAAGTTTTTGAGTTAAAATAATCATTAAATCACAACAGTGTTGTTATTACTACTTCTAGTAATATGATTATTTTACAGTAACTTGTATTGCTATGTGACTATTATTCACACTGTTCTTATTTCCAGTGAAGCCGTCCATGCCTGAGACCACAGCGCTCGGTGCAGCGATGGCAGCGGGAGCAGCAGAGGGGGTGAGCGTGTGGAGTCTGAACCCAGAGGACCTGAGTGAAGTCACCTCTGAGAAGTTCGAGCCTCAGATCAACACTGAAGGTACAGTGGGCTGCTGCCGCCACCGCCGCCTCTACACGCCTTCGAAGTATGTGTGTTCAGTAGCTGCTGCTTAAAAAGTAATGGTGTTTCTGTATGCCTTGCAGAGAGTGAGTTTCGGTACGCCCGGTGGAAGAAGGCGGTGCAGAAATCCATGAACTGGGAGACGACAGAGCCTGTTTGTAATGGAAACGGTAGGCAGTATCACACTGGAGCCAAATAACTTGAAGAACTTGAACGCTCGCTGTCAATGTGGGGCCCAATATGACAATGCAGACATGCCTGTATGGATAAGGATTATAAGGATTTTTGGGAGCTGTAATTGTTCCTCCTGTCCATCCATTAAACCCATTAAATCCATTAGATGTTAATGCAAGTGATGGGGGACAAAAACACATTCCTATTAGTACATTTACCAATAAAATGCTGCTGCTCTGTCATTTAAATCAGGGCTGCTGTAAAAATAAATTAAAAATATAATATCAATTGCTCTTTAAATATGTAGGATCACTAATTATTAATTGCAGTGTTTATGTTTCCATGAAGTTTCTGTTTGGGCCCTCCAAGGGAAAATATTTAGCCACCCCTCCTTTAAATCCATAATACTGCCGCTAATAACATACCATAACATACTTGAGGCTTAATCTGCAGGTAAAGGACATTTCTGATCCTCTTGCTCTTTAATTAATTATTCCGTTCCATATTTAGAGAAAAGACGGTAAAAAACTGGTAAAATAACCAAATTATAGTCGTGCAGATGGTTATTAGTTAACATTGACACAAAAGCTTTATCCTGCTTTGACATAAAAAGATATAACTGAACTAAAACTAACTTTAAAAAAAATAATAATAATAAAGTAGACTGAATTGTCGTTTGTCCTTTAAACATATTGTTCTTCTGTGTCTCCCCACTGTTTTCCCTTATTTGTTTGTTCAAATGACCGAAAAGGTGAAACTAGTATCTTCAGCAGCGCCCCGCTGGGCTTCTACATCATTGGCAGCATGTTGATGTTAATTGGTGCAAAATACCTCGCAGGTGAGTGTCTTCTTCAGTACGTGTATGAAGCAGAATATTAGTGTAGGCGTAGATGTTACTGGTTCTGTTAATGTGAATGACAGGATTACATGCTATGACTTTAGATCCTGCTGTACTTTACCAGGAAGCAGTCGCACTACATGATAACACCAGCTCCTGTTTGTTTATGAGCCACCTTCAGACTTTTGTCACATACTTGAGCAGCATGTTAGGTGTGCCATGTTTAATTAATGTCAGTGATGGTGACCTTTCTTGAAATGTATTTCTCTCTGTTAGGCCGCAACTAGGCTCCGACTCCCGGAGGCATTGAAGCAAAGAGGGAAGTGGAGACAAACAGCTGGACCACCACTTGTACTCTCAGCTGCACTCGTTTCCAAAAGGAATTCCAGGATAAAGACGTTCCTGCTGAATCTTACTGGAAAATGTTTGACCTGACTCACTGAACTTTGTTATTTTTCCCTGTGTTTTTTTTTTTTTCATTTAATTTGAATGCATTTTTTTCAGCAGCAGACAAGAACACATTGGTACATTAGATTTATTTTAGCAGGAGTGTGCATGCAGTATTTTCTTTTTCTTTTTTTTACAATGTTGAGATGGTATGAACTTCTGAGCTTATTTATGTAGAAACCAATGCTAGTGCAGATTGTTGTCCACAGCTGTGTCAAGTGAAGTTTGCTGTTTAATTTGCTTTATTTGCTGTTCGTCAAATTCACTGTTACCCTTGAATGGTAGTCTAACGGGCATCCTGTAATGTTTTGTTGTTGGAGACCCTCCGCTATGAGCTACAGAAGAATTTTTAGAGCACTTTATATTTTTGTTTTGTCTTGTGGGAGCTGTGTACTAACAGAGTCTAATATATATATATATATATTTTTTTTTTTTTCTTCCTAACAGTTGGGATTAAGAGACAGAAAGAAAGAGTTAGTTTGTGGTTAAATGAAAACAAAGGAAGGACTGAACTGACGAGGTTGCTTCTATGCTTTTGTAAGCAGGAATAATACGTGTTGTGTAATAGCTATGAAGGGCAAAAATGAATTGGCAGACAATTAGAATTTCTGTGTTCACGTATATGAATAAATGGTGAATTTGACACGTTTAAAAAAAATCTCCCAAAGCTAGAAACCAACTAAGAACATCATAAGGGACAAAAACTGACGCAGCTATTAATAAGTTATTTATTTTGGTCTCAGATTTTTTTCATCCCCGGACGCTCGATTTCATTACAGTATGAATTTTTTAAGGCCTGTCACGGTTCAGATTCAGATTTAACATTCTCCACATGTAATGAAATAGGCAAAAAAATGTAGTATTGTTCCTCTGGTGTTTATCAGGGGAATTTACACATAGCTGTCTAGTTACTCTTTTATCAACGTCAAATGCTTAAAAAAAAGTTTAATTAACTTCTGTGACGTGCAAAACGTCAAATATGCAAAAATCTTGTGCAGAACAACTCGAACGCAAATGTTTTATTTGCATTGTTAAAGAAGACTCTTGGTGAACGTCTGTCGCACTAAAATGTTAAGAGTGCAGTGTTTTGTCTCTGATTAAATTATTTAAATTAATGCTTAATTTAAAATAAGATTTATGAATCCATAGGGACAGAAATTCGTTCCTTTTGCTCTGTAGAGAAGGTCGGAGGAGTTAACCTTGACAGAAGTAGAAGCGAGTAAACAAACGTCAGTGTTTAATCTGTTGCCTCTGGTTGTTGTATTTGTCTTTCTGTGTTGGAACAAATAGAGAACCAGTGTTCGTCTGGATAGAAGCAGAACGGGTATTTTGTTTAAGAAATGGTTAAGCGTCTGCTCTGCGTTGTCAGGCTATTATTTGTCAAACTGAAAGTATGAAATTTCTGCGTTCAAAGGCTCAAAGTGCTCTTCCGGGATGTAAACACCATTTACAAATGTATATTTATGAATGAATTGAATATATGCGAAAAGTCATCATGAGTTGGGAGGCTTTGACTTAAGTGTTTACATTTTGAGAAATAGATTTAAGCATGAAAGCAAAGTACGCTACCAATTCTCATGTAAGACCTTTTTAACTGTGAAACTGCTGGTTTTAATGATGAATTGAAACTACTCCACACTCTTGCACTCTGCATGGCATTACCTTCAACTCATTCACAGTGGAATATAAAAAGTGTACAATACTGTCCTTAATAAATTAAAAGGGGGCATTAAACCCTAAATGTGATGTTCCAGATGTGTTGACTTCGGGGAAGGAGGAACTAATATCTGGCCAACACTGTTCAGTTGGAAATGTAAGGGCTTTGAAATGAGGAAACACTTCTTATTTTCTTTATGTATGGAAACAGGTTGTGTGGGAAAGTAAATGTCATCAAAATAGATTCATTTAGTTCTGATTTAATAATAATAATAAAAATAATAAATGTTTTCTCAAATGCTCAAAGTACAAATTTGAGGTACTTGTGCTTAACTTTGTACTTTTTTATACATTTATTTGACAGCTTCAGTTACTAGTTACTTTACAAATTAAGATTATTGCACACAAAAACGTGAAAATGTGCAAGCTACAACAATTTGTTACTATTTTGATAATCGTTTGTCATTTTTCAAGCGAATTATTTCATGGTTCTGCCTTAAAAATGTGAAGATTTGCCACTTTTCCTTTTAATTATTTTAGTAACTTTCAATTTTATTCTATTGTTTGGACAAAACAAGCATTGAGAATGTGTCGCTGGGCTATGGGTAATTGTGATGACACTTTCTTTAATCTGCTATTTTCTGATTTTTTCAGATCAGTTGAATAATTTATGAAATAATGAGCAAGTTAATAAATAATAAAAAAATAATAATTTATACTCCTGTAACAACTTATAAATCCGGGTGATTAGATTACTGCTCGTCACTCGACAAAATGAGACTGAAAGGTTTAATTTGTTGATGTAACTACGCAACTATGTAAGAAAGCAACAACAAGCCATGTTCTAATCTTATGGACCAAAAAGTAAAAATTAACCATAAATCGAACTTTGCACTACCACCACATTCAGCTAGTCCTCTGCTATAAGGACAAACAAGCATACACTGGATCTGGACTCAAGCCAAACCCAACATGCCTTTCTCTGAGCTGTTAGCAGGGAAGGCGTTTGTGCCACCAACACCTCAAATTACTCACCTGCCCTTCCTTTTATTGCACGTTGGGTCTTTCAGTTCTGCAGATGTTCCAGTGGTGCACAGGTTGATCAGTAAGTTTAACAGGTATGTACAATAACATAAATATATTTATTACTGTGTAATATATGTTCAATAACATTGTTTTTTTCTTGCTGTATTGAGTATTATTTTTCAAGTTTGCTCTGCAGTCTGGTTACTGATTCACTTATGAAGGCTTTATTGTTCAGTGGCTTTGCTTGTGTGCAGTACATTGGCCTCGTTTGCATATCAACTGACCCTCAACTAGTTTTTCTGTTAGAGGACTGGACTTTTAAGATAAGGATTCACTTTATAAATGATTTACTATTTAGTCTTTGAATCAATTTAATGCAAACTGCAAATAAAAAGTGGTAAAACTGAATTTTTGCAGCATTCACCTTCTAGGATTAACTTTCAGCTGTGACAAAATGTGCAAGACCTTTATTTTGAAACTGACACTGGACTCATCTCACTAACCTGTCAACCAGGAAGTTGAGCCAGGTGTGGGGCATTTTGTGAGGCAGTTGTTCCTCATTTCTGATCCTGCGGTGACAAGTGGAAGAGCTGCAGACAGGTGAGTCGCTCGTGCGTTTTCTTGTCACACCCTGTCACTGACTAATTGATCACTGACTGTTTTACATTCCAGTTGTGTGAGAGGAGAAAAGTTCCAAGTGGAGTTGATTGCTAATAGATGACTCTGTAAACATGTTGGATCCAAGAGGGCATGAAACCAGAGGAAGCCAGAGTCTGTCAATGGGGGCCAACTTCATAAACGATACAGGTCAGTTTTTATAATCGCTGTAATCTGATATAACCATTCACCACTTTCAATAAAATGAAACTCTACCCACAGCTCACTGTTTAATCTTGTGGTTCCTAAACATTTGATTCCACTTGCATTGTTTTCGAGACACAGGGGGAACGAGGAAGTTTAACTTATTTCTGTTTGCATTAGAGAACGGCAGGATTCGGATCCTTTATTTAGGTAAAAGTACAAACACCTAAAACCTTACTTCAGTAAAAGTGTGTGAGTATATTCCTGCAGACTTCAACGTTTCTTTCACCTTTGTGATTTAATCTGATCATGCACACTGTGTTTTTCCTCAGGCACTGATCCCAAGCCACCAGAATACGCTCAAGCCGTCCACAAGAAGAACACCGTGAAGGAACTGCTATTGCTGAGACGCCAGGTTAGTCCCCGGTAGAACAGGTATTTAAACACATGAGCATGATAGGACAAGTTTGACTGAAGGATTTGGAAGTTGCAATCAACTCCAATATGTTTTTATCTACAGTTGTTTGGAAAAAGAAGAATATGTAGGAATTTTAGCTTTATTTCTTTTAAAAGCTGTTCACCTGTCTAGTTTTGTTTCTGAGGATGGAGTTTGACTTCCTTCAGTATAAGGAAAAAGCATTCCTCCACTTCAATAAAAGTACAGGTTGTTAGTATGCAAATAATTGAAAGACAGTGCCAAATGTGGGTTTGTTAAATACCCTTACTGAATTAAATTACAGCTCAGAAATTTTTCTGTTCTAGAAATGGAACTGCTCGCGGGACGACAACAACATGGAGCATAAATTCAAATTTGCAAAATCTGAAGCTTTCTCCAACGACATGAGTTGTCATTGGTTTGGGCATCCAGCACCAGTAAACTTCAATATTACCAATCAATGGGCTCCCGAAAATGGTAATATTACCCCACAGCTAACGCAATGTCCAGCTCTGTGGGGACAAGAGGCTCCGACTGCTGAGGTGAAAATGACTTTATTTCACTGGCAAATACAGCAAGAGGCACAGAAAGTTGAAGGAATTTCTCTGGAGCTGCTGAACATGCAAGATGTGGATGGTGACACGTATGTATTGATGAAGACAGTCAATTTAGACAAGTTGAAAACAGTTGAAATAGTGAACTAAAAGTGAATAAACAGCTGAAATAGTGAGCTAAATAATAAATGAAGAGAATAAGATAAAAGTAATGAATGTCCAGCCGTAACAGACCTAACCTTAAACACTGACACATGGACATACTATATATATATATATATATATATATATATATATATACATATATATATATTGCTTGTGGATAAACAACCTTCTTTTCCAACCACCAGATTTCTTCACATAGCAGTGGCACAAGGTAGACGTGCTCTGGTGTACGTGCTCGCTGCACATATGGCCAGATGTGGCTCTGTGGACGTGAAAGAACACAACGGGCAGGTATAAAGCAAACACAAGTACTGTTTCAGTGACTCGTGGTTTTCAAGTGCATGTTGTTCAGTGTCCGTTGTTAATGCACACCTACACAGACGGCTCTTCAGTTAGCAGCTGCCACCAATCAGCATTTGATTGTCCACGACCTGCTGACACACGGAGCGCAGATCAACACTCGAGACCTCTGGGGCCGCTCTCCTTTGCATGTTTGTGCTGAGAAAGGCCACTTGCTCAGTCTTCAGGTAAAAATGCATCAACATCTCTCTCTCTCTCTCTCTCTCTCTCTCTCTCTCTCTGTGAAATGTCGTCATAGTTACTGCATCAATTCTTCAGTTATGGCCAAAAATGTGTTTTGTTTTGACTATCTTGATTTCTTTTCCACAGAGCATCTGGAGGACGTTAGTGGGAGGCGGCAGGCAGTCACTTGATATTGAAATGTTCAATTATGATGGTGAGTTTAGTTTTATTTAGCTTTAAAAAACCTCTTCAGTAAAACTTGTTTGTAATGAAACACTGCTGTTCTGTGTCTGGAGGTTTAACTCCGCTGCATGCAGCAGTCCTGACTCACAACGCCGTTGTTAAAGAGCTGAGGAGTCTGGGAAACCCTTGTTCATACATGAAAACGGAGCTGGGGCAGAGGAGACAGAAGCATGTTGAATGTATTAAGACTCTGCTGCTCATGGGCGCCTCCTTTGGGACAAAGGTAACTATCAGAACTCCTTAACTGCTGCCTTTGTTTTGATGTTTGGTTTATGTTCATTTGAAATCATATTTCCTTTTATTTCCCTGCACCCACAGAAGCTCCACCTTATGAAAACAACCTTGTTTTCTGGTTTATTTTTGATTTCCGCAGGATCTTAAAAGTGGACGGACGTGTCTTCACATGGCCTCTGAGGAGGCAAATTTAGAGCTTCTGAGCATTTTCCTCGACCAGCCATCTTCACTGTCCGTCGTAAACATCCCGGTAAGTTGCCCTGTTGTTGTAATGAAACCGGAGTGAAATGAATGAATTGACCGTAATGTGTAATTCTGTGTCCGTATGCTTCAGACATTCAGTGGGAACACCGCCCTGCACATTGTCAGCGCTTTGCAAAATCATAAAACTCAAGTGGAAGCAGTGAAGCTGCTGATGAGAAAGGGAGCCGACCCCGGCACCAGGAACTTTGAAAATGAACTGCCGTCTCAGCTGGTGCCTGAAGGCCCCGTCGGTGAAAAGGTATCAGATTATCTTATCTGAACAAAGACAAGGCCTCGCTACTATGAGAGGCATTTGAAAACACACTGGATTGAGGAACTAAGTTTGTTATGTGATAAGATCCTTCTTGCACATGATGTTATTTTATTTTTCTTTGTTTTCCAGGTGCGGCAGGTCCTGAAAGGGAAATATTTTCATGCTTAAGTGAAGCTCAAGAACACTGTCAGTCAGACAGTCCACACTAACTATTATTTGCCAAAATAAGGCAGATTGTGGTTGTTTCAGTGAAACATGTCACATTGTTCATTACCATGTAATGTCCAAATAGAAGAGGTTTTTGTGTTTTAGCTCTATAAATAAAGTGTATACGTTATTGTTTTTGTCAATAATCGGATTCGTTTAAGATTTTTTAAGGTTTGATGATTCATGATTAGTTAAGTTTTGTTTTTTAGATTTATGGAGGATTGAATCATGGGTTTTGGTGTTTTTTTTTAGTTCAGTTTGAAATTTCACTGCTATACCATTTGCATATTGTTGTTTATTTGGTTGAGTTGGAGGTATGAATGGAAATGTTGTACTGCATGTCATATATCAACAGTTATTTTTAAATCATCTGTAGTTCCTGGAGAAAATGTACTATTACTCCACTGAATGACATTTTATTGTGAAAAGTTATGTTATGTCATGAGATTTCTTTTTCAAATAGTTTTAAGAGATTTCAACATTCTGTATATTTTTTTTAAATGTTGATTTTCTTTAGTTAAAGGGGATGGAAACAGTTGACGCAAAGTTGTCTTTTGGTGTCTATAAAGTCAAAATGTTCATGAGAAAGACCAGTGAAGAGGTTTGGAAGTGAAACTGATATTTTTCTAGTAGTAGCCAATAATATTTAGGACTGTCCTGCAATCCAGTCTGGTATTCAAATTTAATTTTTGCATTTCGATCTTCCAGTTACCCCTGGTCTGTATTCAACATTGTTTCTGTTGACTATTTGTGTCAGTGTGTGAAAATACTGTAATCATTTTTCAATAAAGTTCTTTATGTTGATGAAGTTAAACAAAATGATGCACATAGACAGTATATATAATTGTATGAACTGTGTATGTATACAATATTGTAAATAAAGAGTTGATCCCAGAGTGTGAATGATGCTTGAGCACATCCAATGTTGGCATTTACAGGACATAGAAACAGATTTAGGAATATATAAATAAACCCAAGTATAAAACAGGCTTCCAAAAATAGTTGTTTCCGCCTTTGCTCACTTTGGTATTCCCAGTATTCCCCCTCTAGTGCACCAATGACTCCACCAGCGAACAGACTCTCTTCCTGACTTCGCTCCGGTCGGCGAACTGACGCGACGACGCGTCCGCGGCGGCTGACACTACTGACAGTATCAACCTGAGCGGAAAGTTCGCTCTCATTCCGGATACATGAACCTGATTCATGAAGACGTTTTCAAGGAGGAGAGGAAAGAGAAAATAAGTGAGTTATAAGGTCAGTGAGAGGCTGAACGGCCACACAAACAAACACAAACAAACAAACACAAACAAACACGCGGTCGCTGCGTCTCTTGCGAGCTAGTTAACAGCTATGTTAACGTAGGTGACTGTAAACAAACAAACAATCGGTCAAACTCGAGTTACATGAGGTGACAATGAGAGATTATTGTGAGAAGGAACATGTTGTTTTAAACTGTTGTTGTTGTTGTTTTCCTGCTGTTATTATCAGAGGAAATCAACGCCACCTGTTGACGAGCATTCAGTGAAAGCGACAAGCGAACAGCCTCTCGAACAACAAAGATAGTGGTCATGAAGATCTGTCAATAATTAGTTGTAGCTTAATGATTTCTGGAATAATTCTGGACCATATGACACAACTACATGTTGGTAGAGGGACAACTCACTATTATTGATTATTGATTGATTGTATTATTCCACCAGTGTATCTGACAGGACCATAGTTGGAAACTGGAGTTTGTCTTTATTCTTGAGGCAGTTTATAGGATAAAACTATTGTCACAATATCTGTTATTGTTTTTAATTGAAATCCAAACAGTTAATTTAGTGTTTCCAAAAAACTGCAGGGTTTTAACAAGAATAAAATCAGAGTTTTAGTCCTTGAAATGTCTTTTTAATCATTTAAAATGAATGTTATACGTGAACGTTTATCAGTAGTCAACAATAAGTTATTGAACTTCTTTGATATTGTTCAAAAAGTATCAGCTACCAAATTGGAATATATATCTATATATATATAGATATATATGTATGGAGCAGATAAAGAAACCATGTCATCTGGAAAAAGACGTTGGAATCGGCGCAGTCTTAATTCTGACATGGGTCATATAATTAATATATATAGATATAGATATATATATCTATATCTATATACATGACATGAAAAAGGTTTTGAATTGCACACATAATGGTCTTAAAATCTGCAGAAACACTGATATATACTTTAGTGAGAGCTATAAATCCACTAACTAGACCACTAATTAGAATACATTTCAAAAAATATATATTTAAAAAATACGTGTAAAAAGAGAAATGACAATGACAATGCACAGTTCATTAAAATATATATATATATATATATAAATCACAGTAGTTCTGCAGAGCTGTCCTCAACTACAAAGCTTGTTCTTACAGACCATGATTTTAATCATTTAAAATGAAAATTGGGACAGAAAAATGATCATTCCCACTAACTGTTAATCTTGTTGCAATTTATAAATCTGTTGCAATCAATACAATCACAATATGATTTGTTTGCAGGAGGACCGCTGTTGGCACGCTCTGTGGGAACTATGGAAGAGTCTTCAGGTGAGTCCACTTTCCAGTCTTAATGTTGGTAAACACAGTATATTTATCTTTCATATCACTACTAGTAAACATTCATTAGTGAGACAGATTTTTAAAAGTCTTTATTTCTTGCTTAAATAACAAATCCAGGATCCAAAATGCAATTCACCTGCTTGTGTAAAACTAAACAAATAAATATGAATTATACATTAATATTGGATAAATAACTCCACTCTGTTCCTCAGTGAAATTAATGACATATTCATGTCAAGAGTTATCAACAATCAACAATAAGTTATTGAACTTGAACTCATGTTGTAAAGTGTTACAGTTCATCACTCTTACCACTAGAGGGCACTCTTTATTGAACTGAACACATATTAGATTTCAATTCTTAACATTTATCTTTTACATATATATAAAAAAAGCACAATTAATTAAAAAATCTTGATTTTAATGAAAGTTTCTGTTAAAATGAAAATTGGGACACAAAAAAACCTGTTAATCTTATTGCAGTTGTTAAATCATTTCATAAAGTGTACACATTATCTGGACTGAGACGTCTTTGGAAATTTATTTTCTTTGTTGTTGTTGTTGTTTTGTCAGTGGTTCAGTGTTTGTAGGAGTACTTATGGATGAGGAGGAGGGCCGTGACCTCTTCCGCCCCCCAGAAAACCCAACTTGTCCGCCGGTGGTCCCAACTCGCGTCCTGTAGCTCGCTGGAGGAGGCAGGAGAAGGTGATTAGTACAGAAAAGATAGGACATCATCAAGCACAAGGATTTTTTTAAAAAATGTAATATTTATCATATATCCAATATCATCTTTAAAACAGCTGCTTTTAAAATCTGCTTCTAATCCAGATCAGCCAAGAATCGGTAGACATAGTCCACACCGTTGTTCACTTCTTGGCTCTTGACTCTGCAAGGTAAGTCCACTTTCCAGTCTTAATGTTGGTGAACACAGTATATTTAGTTTTCATATCAGTACTAGTACTTGACAAGTACCATTCATATTTAAAGACAGATTTCAAAAAGTCTTTTTCTTTCACAGATCCAATAAATCTAAGATCTAAAAAATAAATGAATAAATAAAATAATTAAATAAATAAATAACTGACTGCTTTCTTGTCAAGAGTTATGAGTTATATGTGAACGTTTATCAGTAATCAACAATAAGTTATTGAACTTCTTTGATATTGTTGAAAAAATATCAGCTACAAAATTAGAATATATATATATATATATATATATATATATATATATGGAGCAGATAAAGAAACCATGTCATCTGGAAAAAGATGCTGGAATCGGCGCAGTCTTAATTCTGACATGGGTCATATAATTAATATATATATATATCTATATACATGACATGAAATAGGTTTTGAATTGTACACATGATGGTCTGAAAACCTGCAGAAACACTGATACATACTGAAGTAGGAGCTGTAAATCCACTAACTAGACCACTAATTAGAATACATTTCAAAAAATATATATTTAAAAAATATGTGTAAAAAGAGAAATGACAATGACAATGCACAGTTCATTAAAATATATATAAATTGCAGTAGTTCTGCAGAGCTGTCCTCAGCTACAAAGCTTGTTATTACAGACCCACTAACTGTGAATCTTATTGTAATTGTAAAATCTGTTGCAATCAATACAATCGCAATATGATTTTTTAGCCATATCATCCAGCCCTATGATTAATGCAACTTAAAGTTGTGATGATTTATTCTGTGTTTGATGGCTGCAGGAGGACTGCTGTTGACACTAATGTGGGAATATGGAAGAGTCTTCAGGTTGGTCCACTTTCTGTCTTAATGTTGACTATAAACATAACTGAATCAAGTTTATTATTGTTGTATGATTTTTACTTTCACTGTCAGCTGTGTTGTATGTTAAGACTTTAATTTGTCTCACACTTGTAGATTTGCAGTGTCAGTGGAGGACATCTTTGAAGAAGGAACATCTCCTCTGGTAGGATATTTTTCTATTGAAGAAAACCTTTCCAAAGTAAAGTTTATACATTATAGAAACTGTTACCTTCTTTATGTAAGTAGAGAACACAAAGCTAAATGTGAAATGTTTCCTGATGTTAGTAAGCTGTCAGAGAGGCTGTCTGAGTGTGTTTGACTCTGTGGTCCAGTGGTGTTGTCAGCTGTCTGTGAATGTGCAGTCGCTGGTTCGATCCTGCCTTGTGCTTTTCATTTAAAGGCAGACGTCCTCAGCAGTGGACTGAAAGTCCGTCAGAGAAGAGCTCCGAGTGCGGATGGTCCGGTGGAGCAGCGGCATCGAAAGCGCTTCCGAAAGCACCTGCTACCATGTAGCAGTAAGTTCGATTCCCGTGAGACCCCGTCACCTGGAACGCGATTCCCACGGAAGTGGATGAGGAGGAGGGCCGTGACCTCCTCCGCCCCCCAGAGACCTGTAAGCAGAGGGTTATGGAAGAAGAAACTCCACCCAGCTGGAGTTTTACAGACTGTGGGGGTTGAGCATTGAGCTTCTTGTTGCAGCTGCACGCCGCCTACAGGTGGACAATATTTTAATAATCCTACTTGATTTCTACTTATTTATTACTACTAATCCTACTTACTGATTACTGATTGGCTGCTTGATACACGATCAATGACTCTACTTATTTCGGATACATTGTCAGTTATGTGATGTTGTTATTAAGTTCAGTCTACTTTGTATCACTTGTATTTACTGTGTGTGTTCAATGGTTTTGGAGCGTGTCATGGGAATCAGGGACTAACTATTGGGTTTGTGGGTTTGGGTTTGGGTTTCCCAACAGGGACTTGAACTCCCAGATCCAGGTCCCGGTTACAGACCTGTCAGCGTCTTATCTCACTGAGCTATAATTGAAGTTGAACCTGTGCATGTTGTTGTAATTCTTGTATTTCACATTGAAGGAGAAAACATTGAAAATGGTCAGAACACAGTCAGGTTTTGAACCCTCAATCTGAGTGTGGAGAACCAACAGTGACAACCATTTACTCATTGAGCTATATATTGGGACAATAGAGTATAAGTTGTTGTTGCTTTTCTTTACATTTTTGAAGAGAAAACTCAGAAAAGGGTTATCAGAGGATAAATTGGATTTGATCCCTCCACTTTTGATTTTCAGGTAGCAGCACCTTATCTCAGGGAGCTACACCTGAGGGTTACAATCAGTGGTTCGTTGTTATATCTATTGTTCATGTTGCTGAATAAAAAAGACAAAAATCTCAAGTGAGTGTAGATTTGAACCTTGCAACTCAGATTTCAACATGAGCTGCTTATCTCACTGAGCTATTTCTGCAGTTGGATTTTTCTTTTTAAAGCCCTAATATCTGTGACGTCCATGAATGCGTTGTTGGCATCCTTTGCCTTGATGCCAGCACCTCAGGACACCGCAGCAAAGAAGATGCAAGGAGAGGGCAGGGGCTTGTTCCTCCAAAGCAGCACTGTTGTACCTGAGCTCCATTATAGTTCATATAACCCCCAGGGTTGTCTGTCCAGTGTAAAACCTAAATTAAATGTAGTTAAAGTAAATGAAAGAATTAAAAAAAAAAACTCCAAGCAGCAAGAATAGCTCAGTGAGATAAGCAGCTCATGTGGTTGAAACCTGAGGTTAAGAGTTCAAATCCAATCTCATGCATTTGGTGATTTTAAAGGTTTCTCCTCAGTGATGTGAACAATAAATACAACTACGAAGCAGTGAATTACTAACTTGAGGTATAGCTCAGTGAGATAAGGAGCTGCAAAAGGATGATCCAAGGTTACATTTTGTGTGTTCTCTCCTCAAAGAGATCAAGAAAAGTAACAACTGACACAGACTGTACTGTCGGTGGTACTGCCTGTGAATAAGCAGATGATTGTCTGATTGGAAGTGGGGTTCGAGCCTTGCTCAACTCTGAATTATGAAGTCAGATGTTTGTATAAACAAGTCAAAAGCTGTTACAAACACAGACTGTCTCAGATCAAATAGTGCAGAGTGTTAGAAGAGTGATCAGGAGATGAGAGGTTGTGTGTTCGATTCTCTTATGAGGCTGAGTGAGTTTTGTGGTCCAGCAGCCAAAGTAAAATGATAAAAGCGCCCGGAGAAGGAGTTATAGTATGAAGGGAGCTTGGTGGCGCAGTGTGCATGGGAGTGGCCAGAATGCAGAGGTGTCTGGTTCAAGGCTCGCTCGGCGCCGGATGCCAGGTTCCTGGAGTGTCACCCCGCTGCAGAGGGAGAGGAGGGGGCCGTGTCCCCTCCCGGGTTTCCAGAGAGACAAATGCAGGGGGTTATGGATTTTAAAATAATTTTATTCAACATTAACACTGCCAACACAAAGAGAGCGCCTCTCCTCCCTCCTTCCCACCAGTTGGCATTTTCCACAAAGAAGTAAGTCTTTGTGGAAAATGCCAACTGGTCCGCTGGCGGTCCCAACTGGCATCCGGCTGGACGACGCAGGAGCTGAGAGAGAGAGAAGTTAGTACAAGTACCAAGATGTCATCCAGCACATATACATTAGACACTACTATATTATATTAGACACAACTATATTATATTAGACACTACTATATTAGACACTACTATATTATATTAGACACTACTATATTATATTAGAAACTACTGTACTATATTAGACACTACTATATTATATTAGACACTACTATATTATATTAGACACTACTATATTAGACACTACTATATTATATTAGACACTACTATATTATATTAGACACTATATTAGACACTACTATATTATATTAGACATTACTATATTATATTAGACACTATATTAGAAACTACTGTACTATATTAGACACTACTATATTATATTAGACACTACTGTATTATATTAGACACTACTATATTAGACACTACTATATTATATTAGAAACTACTATATTATATTAGACACTATATTAGACACTACTATATTATATTAGACACTACTATACTATATTAGACACTATATTAGACACTACTATATTATATTAGACACTACTATATTACATTAAGACACTACTGTACTATATTAGACATTACTGTACTATATAACTACTATATTATATTAGAAACTACTATATTATATTAGACACTACTATATTAGACACTACTATATTATATTAGACACTACTGTATTAGACACTACTATATTATATTAGACACTACTATACTATATTAGACACTACTATATTAGACACTACTATATTATATTAGACACTACTATATTAGACACTACTATATTATATTAGAAACTACTATATTATATTAGACACTATATTAGACACTACTATATTATATTAGACACTACTATATTATATTAGACTACTATATTAGACACTACTATATTATATTAGACACTACTATATTATATTAGACACTACTATATTATATTAGACACTATATTAGACACTACTATATTATATTAGACATTACTGTACTATATTAGACACTACTATATTATATTAGAAACTACTATATTATATTAGAAACTACTATATTATATTAGACACTACTATATTATATTAGAAACTACTATATTATATTAGACACTACTGTATTAGACACTACTATATTATATTAGACACTATATTAGACACTACTATACTATATTAGACACTACTATATTATATTAGACACTACTATATTAGACACTACTATATTATATTAGAAACTACTATATTATATTAGACACTATATTAGACACTACTATATTATATTAGACACTACTATATTAGACACTACTATATTATATTAGACACTACTATATTATATTAGACACTACTATATTATATTAGACACTATATTAGACACTACTATATTATATTAGACATTACTATATTATATTAGACACTATATTAGACACTACTATATTATATTAGGCACTACTATATTATATTAGACACTACTGTATTATATTAGACACTACTATATTAGACACTACTATATTATATTAGAAACTACTATATTATATTAGACACTATATTAGACACTACTATATTATATTAGAAACTACTATACTATATTAGACACTATATTAGACACTACTATATTATATTAGACACTACTATATTACATTAAGACACTACTGTACTATATTAGACATTACTGTACTATATTAGACACTACTATATTATATTAGAAACTACTATATTATATTAGAAACTACTATATTATATTAGACACTACTATATTAGACACTACTATATTATATTAGACACTACTGTATTAGACACTACTATATTATATTAGACACTACTATACTATATTAGACACTACTATATTAGACACTACTATATTATATTAGACACTACTATATTAGACACTACTATATTATATTAGACACTACTATACTATATTAGACACTACTATATTAGACACTACTATATTATATTAGACACTACTATATTAGACACTACTATATTATATTAGACACTACTATACTATATTAGACACTACTATATTAGACACTACTATATTAGACACTACTATATTAGACACTACTATATTATATTATATTAGACACTACTATATTATATTAGACACTACTATATACTATATTAGACACTACTATATTATATATTAGACACTACTATATTATATTAGACTACTATATTAGACACTACTATATTATATTAGACACTACTATATTATATTAGACACTACTATATTATATTAGACACTATATTAGACACTACTATATTATATTAGACATTACTGTACTATATTAGACACTACTATATTATATTAGAAACTACTATATTATATTAGAAACTACTATATTATATTAGACACTACTATATTATATTAGAAACTACTATATTATATTAGACACTACTGTATTAGACACTACTATATTATATTAGACACTATATTAGACACTACTATACTATATTAGACACTACTATATTATATTAGACACTACTATATTAGACACTACTATATTATATTAGAAACTACTATATTATATTAGACACTATATTAGACACTACTATATTATATTAGACACTACTATATTATATTATATTAGACACTACTATATTATATTAGACACTACTATATTATATTAGACACTATATTAGACACTACTATATTATATTAGGCACTACTATATTATATTAGACACTACTGTATTATATTAGACACTACTATATTAGACACTACTATATTATATTAGACACTACTATATTATATTAGACACTACTATATTATATTAGACACTATATTAGACACTACTATATTATATTAGACATTACTATATTATATTAGACACTATATTAGACACTACTATATTATATTAGAAACTACTATATTATATTAGACACTATATTAGACACTACTATATTATATTAGAAACTACTATACTATATTAGACACTATATTAGACACTACTATATTATATTAGACACTACTATATTACATTAAGACACTACTGTACTATATTAGACATTACTGTACTATATTAGACACTACTATATTATATTAGACACTAATGTATTATATTAGACACTACTATATTATATTAGACACTACTATATTAGACACTACTATTTTATATTAGACACTACTATATTATATTAGACACTATATTAGACACTACTATATTATATTAGAAACTACTATACTATATTAGACACTATATTAGACACTACTATATTATATTAGACACTACTATATTACATTAAGACACTACTGTACTATATTAGACATTACTGTACTATATTAGACACTACTATATTATATTAGACACTACTATATTAGACACTACTATATTATATTAGACACTACTATATTAGACACTACTATATTATATTAGACACTACTATATTAGACACTACTATATTATATTAGAAACTACTATATTATATTAGACACTATATTAGACACTACTATATTATATTAGAAACTACTATACTATATTAGACACTATATTAGACACTACTATATTATATTAGACACTACTATATTACATTAAGACACTACTATACTATATTAGACATTACTGTACTATATTAGACACTACTATATTATATTAGAAACTACTATATTATATTAGAAACTACTATATTATATTAGACACTAATGTATTATATTAGACACTACTATATTATATTAGACACTATATTAGACACTACTATATTATATTAGACATTACTATATTATATTAGACACTATATTAGACACTACTGTATTATATTAGACACTACTATATTAGACACTACTATATTATATTAGACATTACTATATTATATTAGACACTACTATATTATATTAGACACTATATTAGACACTACTATATTATATTAGAAACTACTATATTACATTAAGACACTACTGTACTATATTAGACACTACTGTATTATATTAGACACTACTATATTATATTAGAAACTACTATATTATATTAGACACTAATGTATTATATTAGACACTACTATATTATATTAGACACTACTATATTATATTAGACACTACTATATTAGACACTACTATATTATATTAGAAACTACTATATTACATTAAGACACTACTATACTATATTAGACACTACTATATTATATTAGAAACTACTATATTATATTAGACACTATATTAGACACTACTATATTATATTAGACACTACTATATTATATTAGACACTATATTAGACACTACTATATTATATTAGACACTACTATATTATATTAGACACTACTGTATTATATTAGACACTACTATATTAGACACTACTATATTATATTAGAAACTACTATATTATATTAGACACTATATTAGACACTACTATATTATATTAGAAACTACTATATTATATTAGACACTATATTAGACACTACTATATTATATTAGACACTACTATATTACATTAAGACACTACTATACTATATTAGACATTACTGTACTATATTAGACACTACTATATTATATTAAGACACTACTATACTATATTAGAAACTACTATATTATATTAGACACTACTATATTAGACACTACTATATTATATTAGACACTACTGTATTAGACACTACTATATTATATTAGACACTACTATACTATATTAGACACTACTATATTAGACACTACTATATTATATTAGACACTACTATATTAGACACTACTATATTATATTAGAAACTACTATATTATATTAGACACTATATTAGACACTACTATATTATATTAGACACTACTATATTATATTAGACTACTATATTAGACACTACTATATTATATTAGACACTACTATATTATATTAGACACTACTATATTATATTAGACACTATATTAGACACTACTATATTATATTAGACACTACTATATTATATTAGACTACTATATTAGACACTACTATATTATATTAGACACTACTATATTATATTAGACACTACTATATTATATTAGACACTACTGTACTATATTAGACACTACTATATTATATTAGAAACTACTATATTATATTAGAAACTACTATATTATATTAGACACTACTATATTATATTAGACACTACTATATTATATTAGACACTACTGTATTAGACACTACTATATTATATTAGACACTATATTAGACACTACTATACTATATTAGACACTACTATATTATATTAGACACTACTATATTATATTAGAAACTACTATATTATATTAGACACTATATTAGACACTACTATATTATATTAGACACTACTATATTAGACACTACTATATTATATTAGACACTACTATATTATATTAGACACTACTATATTATATTAGACACTATATTAGACACTACTATATTATATTAGACACTACTATATTATATTAGACACTATATTAGACACTACTATATTATATTAGGCACTACTATATTATATTAGACACTACTGTATTATATTAGACACTACTATATTAGACACTACTATATTATATTAGAAACTACTATATTATATTAGACACTATATTAGACACTACTATATTATATTAGAAACTACTATACTATATTAGACACTATATTAGACACTACTATATTATATTAGACACTACTATATTACATTAAGACACTACTGTACTATATTAGACATTACTGTACTATATTAGACACTACTATATTATATTAGAAACTACTATATTATATTAGAAACTACTATATTATATTAGACACTACTATATTAGACACTACTATATTATATTAGACACTACTGTATTAGACACTACTATATTATATTAGACACTACTATACTATATTAGACACTACTATATTAGACACTACTATATTATATTAGACACTACTATATTAGACACTACTATATTATATTAGAAACTACTATATTATATTAGACACTATATTAGACACTACTATATTATATTAGACACTACTATATTATATTAGACTACTATATTAGACACTACTATATTATATTAGACACTACTATATTATATTAGACACTATATTAGACACTACTATATTATATTAGACATTACTGTACTATATTAGACACTACTATATTATATTAGAAACTACTATATTATATTAGAAACTACTATATTATATTAGACACTACTATATTATATTAGAAACTACTATATTATATTAGACACTACTGTATTAGACACTACTATATTATATTAGACACTATATTAGACACTACTATACTATATTAGACACTACTATATTATATTAGACACTACTATATTAGACACTACTATATTATATTAGAAACTACTATATTGTATTAGACACTATATTAGACACTACTATATTATATTAGACACTACTATATTAGACACTACTATATTATATTAGACACTACTATATTATATTAGACACTACTATATTATATTAGACACTATATTAGACACTACTATATTATATTAGAAACTACGGTACTATATTAGACACTACTGTATTATATTAGACACTACTATATTAGACACTACTATATTATATTAGACACTACTATATTATATTAGACACTACTATATTATATTAGACACTATATTAGACACTACTATATTATATTAGACATTACTATATTATATTAGACACTATATTAGACACTACTATATTATATTAGAAACTACTATATTATATTAGACACTATATTAGACACTACTATATTATATTAGACACTACTATATTATATTAGACACTACTATATTACATTAAGACACTACTGTACTATATTAGACATTACTGTACTATATTAGACACTACTATATTATATTAGACACTACTATATTATATTAGACACTACTATATTATATTAGACACTACTGTATTATATTAGACACTACTATATTATATTAGACACTACTATATTATATTAGACACTACTATATTAGACACTACTATTTTATATTAGACACTACTATATTATATTAGACACTATATTAGACACTACTATATTATATTAGAAACTACTATACTATATTAGACACTATATTAGACACTACTATATTATATTAGACACTACTATATTACATTAAGACACTACTGTACTATATTAGACATTACTGTACTATATTAGACACTACTATATTATATTAGACACTACTATATTAGACACTACTATATTATATTAGACACTACTATATTAGACACTACTATATTATATTAGAAACTACTATATTATATTAGACACTATATTAGACACTACTATATTATATTAGAAACTACTATACTATATTAGACACTATATTAGACACTACTATATTATATTAGACACTACTATATTACATTAAGACACTACTGTACTATATTAGACATTACTGTACTATATTAGACACTACTTTATTATATTAGAAACTACTATATTATATTAGAAACTACTATATTATATTAGACACTAATGTACTATATAAGACACTACTATATTATATTAGACACTATATTAGACACTACTATATTATATTAGACATTACTATATTATATTAGACACTATATTAGACACTACTGTATTATATTAGACACTATATTAGACACTACTATATTATATTAGAAACTACTATATTATATTAGACACTACTATATTATATTAGACACTATATTAGACACTACTATATTATATTAGAAACTACTATATTACATTAAGACACTACTGTACTATATTAGACATTACTGTACTATATTAGACACTACTATATTATATTAGAAACTACTATATTATATTAGACACTAATGTATTATATTAGACACTACTATATTATATTAGACACTACTGTATTATATTAGACACTACTATATTAGACACTACTATATTATATTAGACACTAATGTATTATATTAGACACTACTATATTATATTAGACACTAATGTACTATATTAGACACTACTATATTATATTAGACACTACTGTATTACATTAAGACACTACTGTATTATATTAGACACTACTGTATTATATTAGACATTACTGTACTATATTAGACACTACTGTATTATATTAGACACTACTATATTATATTAGACACTACTATATTATATTAGACACTAATGTATTATATTAGACACTAATGTATTATATTAGACACTACTGTATTATATTAGACACTACTGTATTATATTAGACACTACTATATTATATTAGACACTACTATATTATATTAGACACTACTGTATTATATTAGACACTAATGTACTATATTAGACACTACTATATTATATTAGACACTATATTAGACACTACTATATTATATTAGAAATAAGACAGTTTCACTCACTCTCTCTCGAAGCGTCGACTGGAACCATTGAAGTGTTGTTGTGTAAAACGCTGACTGGAGCACACCCTGGAGGCAGGAGGAGAGAGTGCAGGTGATTAGTAGAGACATGGAGCCAGAAAGGACATTATCCAGCTGTACTTTTTACAATTCAAGGTTTATTTTCAACATGTAGAAAGAATGGCATGATGCCAATACTAATATATGGCAATATAGCTGACAGACATAAACACTGAAAAGTGGACTTACCTGAAGACTCTTCCATAGTTCCAGCAGTGCGTGTCAAGAGCAGTTCTCCTCCTCCTGGGGTTCTTGGCTGATCTGGATTAGAAGCAGAGGGTTATAGAATAAATAACCATGAGCATCTGAACTTTTACTCAAATGTTTAAAGTTATTAAAGAAAGAGAGAGTGTAGGTGATTAGTACAGACATGGAGCCAGATTACATTATCCAGCTGTGCTCTTTATAATTCAGTCAGTTACTGAAAGATGTTGTTTGTGTAAAACCAAAGATTTGGATGAATATTTAGCAGATTATTTCCTGTGAGGGGAGAGAAGACAATATGCTCCTTGGTGTATGAAATAAAAAAACTGGATATTTGCACTAATAAATTTAAGTTTTTCAACCTCTTATTTTTTATTCTGAACTGACCTGAGTAACCTAAGTAGCTGAAAGACAATAATTATTATCAATCTTCTGCTATGTTGCACCAAATGTGAAAATTAAATTTAAGTGTAGAACATGTTGTATGTAATTGTCACCAATATGTTCATATGTACAAGAAACATGTTAAATCTAAATGTTAAGATTTTAAATCTAATGATATAATAGTGTTCAGTTCAATGAAGGGTGCCCTCCAGTGGTCAGAGTAAAGAGTACTGTATGTGTGGCAGCTCTGGTGGGTCCTCCTAGTTCAGACTGGGGCTTCAGGAGGATCCCCTTCTTCCAACTGGACATCAGTGTCTGGTTCGAGTCTCGCTCGGTGCTGGAGTTTCATTTTTACCAATTATACAGACTCAATAGGATTATTTTTGGACAAAATCTGTGTCTTCTTGATCCTGATGCTGGGTCATTGTTCTACTAGACAATTTACTTTCTGTTTACATTTACACTGGATATTTGCACTAATAAATTATCTTATGATTGATTTTCATTTAATTTCAAATTATAAATGTTAAGATTTTAAATCTAATATAATAGTGTTCAGTTCAACGAAGGGTGCCCTCCAGTGGTCAGAGTGAATAACTGCAACACTATACAACACTTAACATGAATTAATATTAAAGCTGTTCACTAGTGTTATTGAATTGATATTTATTTATTTTATATATTATTATTTTATTGAAATTATAGTTGATGATGAATATTAACTACTACTATATTATGTTAAAAAAAGACTACACTAAATTAAACACTACTATACTACATTAGAAACTACTATAGTATATTAAAACTACTATATTTGACACTCTTACACTAAACAAACATTAGTATGACTTACACCATAAAGGACTAATGTAAGACACAAGAAAGTGTGCCACAAACAATATATGTTAAACAATACAGCAAAGAGTGAAATTTACTTCAATACTTTATAAAGTCAGAACAAGTTGTTACATTCCTAATCCGTTATCTGAGAAAACCTATACAGGTGTTTATAATGTAAGATACATACCACAGCATCACAGTGGAGGACGGTTACAGCAGCGTGTGTGTGAGAGTCCGGGGCTCTGGAGCGGTGGGATCTGAAGGTCCAGCAGTTTCCTTCATTTCTGTGAAAACAACCAAATGAAATACTTATTTTTAAAGTTTAGATGATTATTTAAGATGTAAACTGTGATGATGTGAAGACAAACCGTATTCTCTACTAAACAGCCTGCTCCTGCATGAGAAGAGTGAAAACAACTGCAGCCGGAGCTCCCAGAAACCAAAGCAGAGCACAGCGAGAACACTTACTGAGGTTGGATTTGGTTTTCTGTTGTATTTCACTGTCACTGCAATTCATTCCGACATTGTTGTTTCTCCCAGATAGAGACTGAACTCTGATAGTTTGTGACAAGATAAAACAGACAAAATGAAAAAAATAAAACATTGTAGTTAAGTGGAATAAAATACTCAACAATAGAGAATTAATTCTGACAATGAATGATGAATGTTGAACATTTTTAATACAGTTCAGTTTGTATGAAAGTGTGTTTTTAGGAAACATTACATTATGAATTTGGATTTCTGTTACTGAAGGTGATATTGGGGTTCAATAAAAAATTTTATCACATAAGAAGGAGAGTTTGTATAATTTCTATCCTATAAACTGCCTCAAGAATAAAAGACACACTCCACTTTCCAACTATGCTCCTGTCAGATACACTGGTGGAATAATTCAACCAACACTTAATCAATTTACACACAGCTTCATTTATTATCTACCAACATGTAGTATGGTCCAGAATTATTCCAGTAAATCATAAAGCTACAACTAATTATTGACAGAGCAAATGTAATCTGATTACTGCTTCACAAGAGCAACGTTACAGTGTTTAATCAGTTAGCGATGTAATACAGTGACAACAACGTGAATAATAAACAATGGAAATTAGACTTACCTGAAGACTCTTCCATAGTTACCACAGAGCATGTCAACTGCAGTCCTCCGCCACATGTTGTCAGCCTTCAAACTGTAAGAAATTAACATTTTATAAAATTGTCAGACAATTCAAATGAATGTAGCAGAACCAAAGTTATTGTCTTTTTATTTCTTCTTTGTGAAAATCCAGCATTTAAAACCTTGAAGTTTAAACAGCATCACCTGAGGATCAAACCCAAAACCTTAAGACTGACACACAGTCGGTGGCGTAGTGGTGCCTGAAGAAGTGGGTACACTATTTATTATTAATGCAATTAGCCAGAGAAGAGGTGCAGATTTTACAATCAATACTGTGCAAGAACGAGGGGCTACAGATGACAAGTAGGATTGGATTACCAAATCCATATCCCAATACCGGGACCTGGGTCCACTATTTCAAAACCTTCATTTTAGATCCAAAGTCTCCAGATAGGATTTAACTTAAAATGAGGTATTTAAAAAGATGTGATCCTGATGAACAGATGAAATGTTGTTTTAGGGTATATAAAAACAGTTCAGTCACATTTATAGTCAACAATAAGACTAGAAAGTGGACCAACCTGAAGACTCTTCATAGTTACCACAGAGCCTGTCAACAGCAGTCCTCCTGCAACCATCAAACACACAATAAATTAATTTATTATTATCTAACAACATGAATTATTCCAGTAATCATAAAGCTACAACTAATTATTGACAGAGCAAACATTCACTGTACAAACGGAGTCTCTATCTTTGTTGTTCGAGACGCTGTTCGCTTGTCGCTTTCGCTGATTGCTCATCAACAGGTGGCGTTGATTTCCTCTGACAATAACAGCAGAAAGACAACAAAAAACAGTCTAAAACTTCATGTTCCTTCTCACAATAACCTCCCATTTTCACCCCTTATGTAACTCGAGTGAATTTGACCGCTTGTTGTTGTTTATAATCGCAAACTGTACAGACGCTAGTACAGCTGTTAGCTACCTAGCAACAGACGCAGCGAGCTTGTTTGTTTGTTTGTTTGTTTGTTTGTTCGTTTGTGTTTGTTTGTGTGGCCGTTCAGCCTCTGACTGACCTCATAACTCACAACAAACTCCAGTTCTTCGTCTTATTTTCCTCCAGTCTCTCTCCTTTCTTCCTCTCGTCCTCCACACGTCTCCATGAAGCAGGTTCATGTATCCCGAGTGGCCGCGAACTTTCCGGCTCAGCTGCTGCCGCGGATGCGTCATCGCGTCAGTTCGCCTGAGCAGCCAGGTAGGGAGTCTGTTCCCTGGTGGGGGAATACTGGGAATACCAAAGAGGGCAAAGGGGAAAACAATAATTTTTAGATGCATATTTTTTTAATCTCACTATATTCTGGTGTCTATGTCCTGAGGAATGTATTTTTATTTTTTATTTTATTCACTTCCCTTTTCCATCTACCTCACTTCCTTTCCTGTCTTTTCCTTGTCACTGATTGGCTCTTGTTTTCAGCCTTTGTCACTCCTCATTAACCGATGGAGTCTACCTGATCACTCCTCACTCCTTTCTTTCAGAGTCAACAGTCCATGTGTTTTTGTTTCCTCCTCTTTATATTCATAAATGCCACATTTTATCCTACAGCCTTTGGAAGACTCAGCGGTATTAAGATGCTTACAATCTGCAACTACACCACTAGAGGACACTAAGTCATCAAAGGATCATTCTTGACAACAGAAATTGTACTTTTATATATCTTCACCCCCCCATGCACATCTCCACGATAACTGAGCAAAGCTACATGAAAAGGACATGTAGAAAGAATGGCATATGGCAATATAGCCTATAAACTATGTTCCTGATGCCATTACACAGCTGTCAGTGACTGAAGTAAAGCAGTGGAACAGCAGTGAACTGACAACCCCTGCTGAGGTGACATATTTTCTGGATATTTTATATTATATTTAAAGCTGTAGTTGTATTATTGTGATTCAAACATTGAATAAACCAGAGTTTAGTGAGTAAGACACTATATTCCACAGCACATCCAGCACAATTCAACACAAGTATTGCAAGGTTGTGAGGCTAAGAGCATACATTTACAATTTTAAAGTAGTTAATAGACTGTCAGAGAGGGTTGTGAGCGTGGTTGGCTTGGGAATGAAACTATATTCTACATTAGCATAAAATACATACAGATCAATCAACACCCCTCAATCAATGTTGGCATTTTCAGGACAAAACAAAACCAGAAAATAGAAATACAGCATATACCATAAAATATGCATCTAAAAATTATTGTTTTCCCCTTTGCCCTCTTTGGTATTCCCAGTATTCCCCCACCAGGGAACAGACTCCCTACCTGGCTGCTCAGGCGAACTGACGCGATGACGCATCCGCGGCAGCAGCTGGGCGGAAAGTTCGCGGCCACTCGGGATACATGACCTGCTTCACGTGGGGACGAGAGGAAGAAAGGAGAGAGACTGGAGGAAAATAAGACGAAGAACTGGAGTTTGTTGTGAGTTATAAGGTCAGTCAGAGGCTGAACGGCCACACAAACAAACACAAACACAAACAAACACAGGCTCGCTGCGTTGATAACTCGCTAACAGCTAGTTTTCCTGTTGTTATTGTCAGAGGAAATCAACGCCACCTGTTAATGAGCATTCAGCGAAAGCGACAAGCGAACAGCCTCTCGAACAACAAAGCTACTGGCGGAAGATTGTGACCATGAAGCAGCTGCTGCAGTGCAGTGGCTGCTGTTTGTTGACATGGAAACAGTTTGTGCAGTGGCTGTTTGCTCTGTCAATAATTAGTTGTAGCTTTATGATTTCTGTAATAATTCTGGACCATATGACACAACTACATGTTGGTAGATAATAAATGAAGCTGTGCGTAAATTACGCATATTGGAGAGTGTGCGCCACAGAGATCACAACAAAGTCACATCCTCTACTTTCCAATAAGATATACTGACTTATTATTATTGATTGTATTATTCCACCAGTGTATCTGACAGGACCATTGTTGGAAAGTGGAGTTTGTCTTTATACTTGAGGCAGTTTATAGGATACAACTATTGTCACAATATCTATTTTGTTTTAGTATTTAAAAGTTCTTTTTAATGTGATACAATTGGCCACAAAGTCCTCCAATAATTGTACTGATTCCAGACCCCCAGTATCACCTTCAGGAACAGAAATCCTAAAAACACTTAATGGTGGCAATCAATGTCAGTGATGTCTGTTACTGAAGTTGGTTGCTTTATTATCCAAAGTTTAAAAAAAAAAAAAAAAAGTTTAAAAGATAAATTAAAACCGTGGTTCAACTTTAAGTTAATGCAACTCAAAGTTGGGATAATTTATTCTGTGTTTGATGTTTGCAGGAGGACTGCTGTTGATACGCTCTGTGGGAACTATGTAAGAGTCTTCAGGTTGGTCCACTTTCTGTCTTAATGTTGATTATAAAAAGTATGTTTCACCTTGTCCTTACAATCTACTGCCAAAGCTGTTGTCATCTATGTTGTTATCACTTGTTCTTGCACAGTATTCATTGTAAAATCTCCAACAGAACTTTAAACATTCGAGTGTTCGGTGTTATTAATGCATAACTTTCTGCTTCTAATCCAGATCAACCAAGAACCTTAGACTTACTGCAGAAGAGTCTTCAGGTAAGTCCACTTTCCAGTCATAATGTTGGAGAACGGTCAATAAAATAAATGTTAAATCTACATATTTATTTCCAATAAATGACTTCACTTCCTAAGTGAAATTTCTGGTCAAGAGTTACGTTAACCTCTATCAGTAATCAACACTAACTTAGTTAACGGCTTTAATATTAATTCATGTTTCATGGTGTTGCTCTTCATTATCACTCTTCATTAAACTATTAGATCTATCTTTTACATAAAAACATTAGTAACAATTAAATGTTTTACATGAATTTCTGTATCAAAATATATTAGCTAGAAAAGCTAGGAGGACTGCTAAATATGATTAAATAAAATATAATTGAGGTAATTATTCTGTGTTTAATCAATGTAAAGTTGAACGGTCAGTTTTTATTTTACTTCATTAAACTAATGACACCCTCCCATGTTCAATTCAAATCAATTATATTATGTATATTTCAGCTCCAGAGCGTCTAACCAAAATAAGTTAATTGAACAGGGGCATTTATTACTGGCTGTTTTATCATATAATACGTTTTAAATATTAGTAAGTCTTCCATAAAGGCCAGCGTTAGCCATTTTATACTCACTCACTTAAGAACTATCTAAAAGCCAGAGTTAGAGGACTCACTCTTGTGTATGTATATTAGCTTGTCACAGAACTTCTGAGATATGTAAATTAGATAATGATTTGACCATCGTGGACATCAGATCAGAAGAAACTGTTTATTTTCCCAAAACTCAAAGTTACATTTATGAGAAAAAAACAAAAATACATGAACTGTAATGGAACTGGAAGACAAACAATCTTCAATTCTCTGAAATGCAACTTTAAATTGTAAAATTTTATTTTACAACTTAAAGTTGCATTTAGGAATTATACATTTCCCCAAAACAAAACAAAACACATGAACTGTTGACTCTGAAAGAAGACAAACATAAGATCAGAATTAGTTAATCTTAGATAATCTCCTTTTACCATTGTTATTCCAGTAACTATAGACAGATCCCAATGTCACCTTCAGATCAGAAATCCAAATCCATAATTCTCCATCTCTAATTTGAAACGAAATTAAAGATCATTTATCAGTGAAAATATCAGTGCTGAAGACTAAACACACAAACATGTGCACCAAGAAGGCAGAAAACTTTCTAGGAACAAAGCTTATCGTCTTATCTTAAACAAGGATAAATAAAGTTCTCAGTTAAACTAAAATGAACTCAGCACCAAAGCATAAGATCAACTCCTCTTACCAGAACTGCTGCCATGCAGGTTAAAGAGTGAGCGAAAGAGAGAGCAGCCTTTAAATAAGGATCAGGTGGACTCAATCAGGTTAATGAGGAGTGACAAAAAGCCAACTAACGCAGAAAACAAAATGAAGAACTGGAGTTCGTTGTGACTTATAAGGTCAGTGAAACAGCTAAAAGCTACAGTAGTTGTTGTTGTTGTTGTTGTTGTTGTTTTCCTGCTGTTATTGTCAGAGGAAGCATCTTAATATAATAGCATCTTAATATAGTATCAATATATAGTAGCTTTTTAATATAATTGCATCTTAATAAAGTAGTAATATATAGTAGTATCTTAATATAGTATCAATATATAGTAGCTTCTTAATATAAAAGCATCTTAATATAGTATCAATATATAGTAGTATCTTAATATAGTATCAATATATAGTAGCTTCTTAATATAATAGCATCTTAATAAAGTAGTAATATAGTAGCTTCTTAATATAGTAGTAATCTAGTATCATCTTAACATAGTAACATCTTAATATAGCAGTAATAAATAGTAGCATCTTCTTCCACTCATCAGGGGGACACGGCCCCCCCTTACCTCCCCTGCAGTGGAAATAATTTGAAAGTAAATGAAGTGAATGTGACCCTTTATAAATTTTTAAAACACGTTGTTGAATTGTGCTGGATGATGTCTTGGTACTTGTACTAACTGCTCTCTCTCTCTCTCTTTCTCCCTCTCCCTCTCTCTCTCTCTAACAGCACCTCCTCCAGCAAGCTGCCGGATGCCAGTTGGGACAACCAATTGGCAATTTCCACAAGGAAGTCTTCTCTGTGGAAAATGGCAACTGGTCGGAGGGTTCTCCGGTGGTGTTGCCAGTGTTAATGCTCTTTCACTGTTCAATAAAATTATTTTAAAATCCATAACCTTAATTTGATCTGAGACACAGAGTTTATTTGAACATTGAATTTAAAATTCAGAGTTGAGCGAGGCTCGAACCCACATCCTCAAAACTTCCAATCAGACATTCTGCTTATTCACTGAACTACACATGAGGACAGTAGAGTCCATGTTAGTTTTTCTTGACTTCTTTGAGGAGATTAAAAGACACCCTGGATTTGATCTCTCTACCTCAGATCATCAAATAGCATCACTTTATCTCCCTGAGCTATACCTGAGGCCAGGAATTTGTTTTTCGTTGTTGTATTTATTGTTCATATTACTGAGGAGAAAACTTAAGAACAAGTGATCTTGGGTTTGAACCTTCAACCTCAGGTAACAACTACATCAGCTGCTTATCTCACTGAGCTATTCCCACTAATATTCCTCTCTAATGATAGCAGTGTTGTAGCTCAGATACCAGAAGATCCACTCTAAGGTTGGAAGTCAGAGTTACATCTGAGTCTGCCTCTGTTTAGGAACATGTTCAGGTTATTGTTAAAAGAATCCAACCAATAATATCTGGTTGGATAGACTCAGGGTTAGACATCTGGGTGTGGAGTTACAAGGTTGGTAGTTCAATCCCTCATTCTGCATTATAATTCCCAGACAGTCTCTCAGTGTTTGTACATTACTGATACAGTTAAACTCCACAAGTACAGCTGGATTAAAACCAACTCTCCCAGTCTTTGGAGAGATTTAATATTATACCTTTTTACTGATTAAATTACAATTTCCAGCTGTACGAAATTATCAAAGATTTAAAGAATTCAGACGGAAAATGTTAGTGTGTCTTTAAAACTGAAGAACTATTTAAGAAGAATCCATTAGAATGAGAATAATTACTAGATAATTAAGTAACCATCTTCAGTAAAAAAAAAGATGACACATCAAGGTATTCATACTTATATGTTGTTGCGTTTGTTGAGGACAAAAAAAATATACTTTGTGTCTGTGACATTGATCATAAAGAGCAGAACTACAGTGACCACAGGTTTGAATGGATCAGTGTTGAACCCAGTCTTGCCCTCAGTACTGTATGTGTGGCAGCTCTGGTGGGTCCTCCTGGTCCAGACTGGGGCTTCAGGAGGATCCCCATTCTTCCAACTGGACATCAGTGTCTGGTTCGAGTCTCGCTCGGTGCTGGAGTTTCATTTTTACCAATTATACAGACTCAATAGGATTCTTTTTGGACAAAATCTGTGTCTTCTTGTTCCTGATGCTGGGTCATTGTTCTACTAGACAATTTACTTTCTGTTTACATTTCTTGAAGTTTTTAAAAACTTCATTTATAATCTATCATTACATTCACAATCCCTCAGCGGACACATTCAAACCAACATTGGTGTAGGAAATAAAAACTGGATATTTGCACTAATAAATTATCTTATGATTGATTTTCATTTAATTTCAAATTATAAATGTTAAGAATTGAAATCTAATAATATAATAGTGTTCAGTTCAATGAAGGGTGCCCTCCAGTGGTCAGAGTGAGGAACTGCAACACTATAAAACACTTAACACAAGTTAATTTTAAAGTTCGCTAACTTATTGTTGATTACTGACAAACGTTCACGTAATTCATAACTCTTGACAAGAAATGAATTAATTTAACTGAGAAAGAGAGGAGTCTATTATTGAATATTAATGTAGATTTAACATTTATTTTATTAACGAATGCAGGTGAATTGCATTTTGGATCTTTTGTACCTTTCACGCATTTACAGAATATACACTGCAAAAAATAAAGACAAAAAATCTGTCTCGCTCATGAATGTTTACTAGTAGTGATATGAAAGATAAATATACTAAACACTGGAAAGTGGACCAACCTAAAGACTCTTTCAGTAGTTCCCACAGACTGTGTCAACAGCAGTCCTCCTGCAACCATCAAACACACACAGTCCCTTCAGCGAAGTAGTCGACAATGCAGCTGCAGTGGTCCCTTCCACAAAGATGTCAACTTATGTGGTCTGGTGATGTGTCGCTGAATCCAGCTCCAGCTGACGAGTGGAAGGCTCACGGTACCAGTGAGTAAGTCTACCTCTGTGGGGTTCTTGGCTGATCTGGATTAGAAGCAGAGGGTTATAGAATAAATAACCATGAGCATCTGAAATTTTACTCAAACGTTTAAAGTTGGACATCAGCCTTCAACCTGTAAGAAAGTAATCAAGCAAACATATTCAGTAAGAATCCAGCTCCAACTTCCATAACAGACAATTCATTTGACATTGATGGTCACCATTTAGTGGTGACAATAAGTTCCTGAAGGTGACATTGGGGTCTGAAATCTGTTATTGGAATAATAGTCAGACTTTGTGGCCAATTGTATAAAATAAAAAAGAGCTTTTAAATACTAAAACCAAACATATATTGTTGTATCCTATGAACTGCCTCAAGAATAAAGACAAACTCTACTTTCCAACTATGTTCCTGTCAGATACACTGGTGGAATCAGCTGCTGCTGGTGGAGCTATTGTTCAACAGAGATTTCAACCTTGATGTTGTTTTTTAAAACTTAAAAGTGCACTCAAGCCTTAACCCACATCTTTTTTTATTATTCAGTCATTGATTTGTGAGATTAAAAGCAGTCAGTTCTCCCTGCAACAGTGTCACAATGGACCAAGACATCATATGAAAGCAAAATTGTCTGCTGTTTAAGCATCCAATCTTTAAATTCTCCTGTAGCTCACCTACAACACCTACAACATTATTTATGTTAATTACGCTTCACATTTTCATTTTACTTCTATATAGGGACGGCAAGGTTAAACTTCCTGTTCAGGTGTTTCTGTCTGAGTTTTTTAATCTTCAAACAGGGTGTCTGAATTTAAGGATTGTACAGCTTGAGCTACTTAATGAGAACGGAAACTGGTTTTCATCACCTCACATAACTAACAATCTAACCCACTGAGACACTGAGATTTGACTTTTATAACAATTTCTCCTCAGATGTTTCACTGACTGACTCAGAGCTGAACCCAGGTTTTAGCTTTACAACCTGGCTGAGTAAATGCTGCTGAATGCTAGGTAACGTGCAGCTTATCTTGTTAATTTGTAACTGTACATTAGTGCTATCAATGTGAAACACAAGGTCTGTTGTGTTAGTTTATCAGATGTGTCTTAGCCATAGACGTTTGATTCATCACGTGATGAAGAAAATTACCAATAAACTTGGAATTTAACCCACATCTTGCTCACAACTCCTACAACTGTGCACTCATCCACTAAAACCGAGTTACATTTTGCCTTAACAGTCACATTTGTCTGTTAAAGTATACCTGTGTAGAACTGTCTTGTATCGTAATATATTTTGTTTTCTATACTATCTTGATTTCTTCTTCACAAATTTATTTCCACAGAGCATCTGGAGGACGTTAGTGGGAGGTGGAGGCAGAGGAGACAGAAGCATGTTGAATGTATTAAGACTGCTGCTCATTGGCGCCTCCTTTGGGACAAAGGTAACTATCAGAACTACTGGAGAGCTTTTGAATTTGATTCAAATACACATTTAACTGCGGCCTTTGTTATGTGGTTTAGTTGATGTCATGGTTAACTAACTGCTTTTTAAAATCATAATAATCATAACAATAAAACCTTTTGATTCTATTTTAACTGATGTGAATGTCTCTAGAAAAGTCGACATCCATAATCCATCTTTCAAAAACATTGCTCCTCTGACCTTGTGTGCTTGGTCAGCTGTGACCTTCATTTCACTGTAACTCCCACTTTCCTTCCTCTTTTACACGCCTCGCCCTACAGGGAGTGTTTTGACTGCACACACACACACACACACACACACACACACACACACACACAAACAGGGTGGGAAAGCACATAGGTTGTGTTGTAAATTTAACCAAGGGTCAGGCAAGGAAGCTCATTTGCACAGACACAACACTAATCTTCTGAGAAGTGATAAAGAGGATTAGAAGTGAAACTCTGTTCTGAGATCTAAAACAAAAAAATGCAAAATAGCCTCGGATATTTTCTTAGTAGTAGCCAAAAATATTCACAACTGCCCCGCAATCCAGTCTGGTCTTCAAATTTATTTTTGCTTTTGTTTCCAAAATAAAGACTCACATGTTATTACAGTCTTCTTCCAGTTACCCTTGGTCTGTTTATACTTTAAGTACCTGAAATAACAAGGTACAGACATACAAACAGAAAACATTTGCAGTTTATTATTTATGAATGATGAAATTCCCGGAGGAACAATGTACAGAGTGGTGGAAGCAGTCACAAGCCGTCTAGGGACTGATTTTCTTCACACAATACAACAATGATATTCTCACTGTCAAATATAAATATAGAAAAAGATGACGAAGGACCAGAATACTTTTGGGAGTCTCTTCTCTTAGTCTTGGCTGGCTCGATTCACCAGCTCAGCGACTAGTTTCCTCAGCTCTAAGATCCTCTTTGTCCACGTGAGCCAACAAACAAACACAGAGGATCTCAGTGCTAAGTGTGCTTCGGGTGCACTCATTTCTTCTTCTTCTCCTGCGTGCTGGTGAACCACTGGTCAAGCAGCTTCTTGCTGTAGTAGAGCTGCCAGCCGTGCACCTGCACAGCGATGACGATCACCAGGTACATGACCGTCACGGCAGAGAAGCCGAAGATGAAGCGGTATGCCTTGCCGTGCCGATAGAGCTGTTGCGCAACAGGGAACATCTCCATGCTGCCGTAGATCAGCGGGGCCACGCAGAAGAGCCCGGCGCTGATCATGGAGATGACCAGGTAGCTGATGTTGTTGCGGGGCAATGCCAAGAAGTTGAAGACTGTAGGGATTATGCTCAGGAGGTAGGGGTACTCCCACTGGTACGGAGAGGCTACAACCTTGTGGGACACCAAGCTCAGCTGACTCACTGTCACCTGAGAGAGGAGAGACAACACAGAGTCACGGCTAGACACACTGCTACAACTGTCAGTCAAAAACAACTCTTATTTTCAAGGTTCGAGACAGTTTCCGAAAAGGTTTGTCGTTACCTGAGCCGCCATCAGCACCCAGATGAGCACGTGGACAATGTTGAGTTTACGGATTTCAGACTTCAAGGCAACACTGCGCCAAATGAGACAGATAGGTACGGTTAACAAACTTAATCAACAGATCTGATGTTTCTACTAGTTTGATTTTCCTACCTCATCTGGTAGTGTGAGGCTACCCGTTCCCGGTGCTGAAAGTCGCTGCCATCTGTGCCTGCCGCTCTCGGACCTGCTCGAGAAGCCATGATGGATATCTGAAATCAAAATATAACAAAGTGTAACACAAGAGTTGTCCCTGTCCAATTGCAACACCACAACAGCCTCGAAAACCACAAAGATATGAGGTCTAGGTGCAGTGGTTTTGGATCCGGACCTGGTTTAATGCGGTCTATGTGCTGAAAAAAGTGTGAAATGTGTCTTTAATGCATTTACACAAATAGAATAAAGGTTTCACAAATCAGAGAGTGTGTTTTTATGAATCTACAGGGTCTGTACATCAATCCAGTCCAGATTTGAGAGGTCTAGGTGCAGTGGTTTTGGATCCGGACCTGGTTTAATGCGGTCTATGTGCTGAAAAAAGTGTGAAATGTGTCTTTAATGCATTTTCACAAATAGAATAAAGGTTTCCAAATCAGAGACTGTGTTTTTATGAATCTTCAGGGTCTGTACATCAATCCAGTCCAGATTTGAGAGGTCTAGGTGCAGTGGTTTTGGATCTGGACCTTGTTTAATGCGGTCTATGTGCTGAAAAAGTGTGAAATGTGTCTTTAATGCATTTTCACAAATAGAATAAAGGTTTCACAAATCAGAGATGTGTTTTTATGAATCTACAGGGTCTGTACATCAATCCAGTCCAGATTTGAGAGGTCTAGGTGCAGTGGTTTTGGATCTGGACCTGGTCTAATGAGGTCTTGGTGTAAAACATAAACGGTGAAATCTCCCCTTTAGCATTTTCCCAAATAAAATAAAAGTTTCACAGATACAATCGTAGGTGTCAGGCGAAGCTGATGTCTTACCTAAAATGTCTAAAACGTTTTCACATCAAGAAGTGTCACAAAAAACAGACAATCAGTGGACAAACAGTCGCACTGCACAATAAATTAATTTCCCCTTAACTTTCCCCTTAAGTGCCGAATCGGAGGCCAACTTCAGCGTCGTAGCTGACGGACCCTCGCAGTGGAGTAAAGACTACAATATTTCCCTCTGAAAATGTGGAGTAGAAGTGGTGTCGTGAGAAGAAAAGACTAAAGTAACCTCAGCTGTCACTCGAGTAAAATGTGCTTTCCACCGCTGGAAGCTAACGTTAGGTTAGCACGGATTAACGCCTGGATTTTTAATCCTAATCGTTTGCATGTCAGCCCAGATGTATCCGCATTGGTTTCACTTCACCCCAGGTGCATTCACTCATATATATATATATAATAATAACTTAAATGGTTTAAGCACGGGGATACGTCGGCTGAGCTCACAAGCTACTGCTAGCTGACTGTTAGCTGCGGGCTGAGGGGAGAGTTGCCTAGGTTACTGTAGCTGTGAGAGACACACGGGAAGGTCGGTGGAGAAACTATCCGGTAACGTTGGTGAAGACATGTCGGATTAATGATGGCACTTACTTTTTATCTGGTGTTCAGCAGGAGCATTAAACCATCGATGTGTTGGCTGACAGGCAGAGCTGACTCTCTACAGGGGGGGAGGGAGGGGGGGAGACAGGAAGGATGACGTCTCAAAGTCTGATTGGTCAGACTCTCTCTAGCTACTCTCGCTCTCTAATAACCTGAAATAAATACTAATAATACTAATAATACTAATAATACACCGATATAAATACTAATAATACACTGATATAAATACTAATAATACTAATAATACACCGATATAAATACTAATAATACTCTGAAATAAATACTAATAATACACTGATATAAATACTAATAATACCCTGAAATAAATACTAATAATACACTGATATAAATACTAATAATACTAATAATACACTGATATAAATACTAATAATAACCTGAAATAAATACTAATAATACACTGAAATAAATACTAATAATACACTGATATAAATACTAATAATACACTGAAATAAATACTAATAATACACTGAAATAAATACTAATAATACACTGAAATAAATACTAATAATACACTGATATAAATACTAATAATACACTGAAATAAATACTAATAATACACTGAAATAAATACTAATAATACACTGAAATAAATACTAATAATACACTGATATAAATACTAATAATACTAATAATAACCTGAAATAAATACTAATAATACACTGAAATAAATACTAATAATACTCTGACATAAATACTAATAATACTAATAATAACCTGAAATAAATACTAATAATACACTGATATAAATACTAATAATACTAATAATACACCGATATAAATACTAATAATACACTGATATAAATACTAATAATACTAATAATACACTGATATAAATACTAATAATACACTGAAATAAATACTAATAATACTAATAATACACTGAAATAAATACTAATAATACAATGAAATAAATAGTAATAATACACAAAAATAAATAGTAATAATACAATGAAATGAATACTACTATACAATTAAAAAAAATGATAATAATATACTGAAATAATTGCTAATACTGTACTGAAATAAATAATAAAATAATATATAAATACATAATATAAAATTATTAATATAAAAATATTATTAAATTAAATAAAACACTGACATGCAGTAACTCCTATTCTCCTGATAGTTTTACAGTCATGCTGTCTTCTCCCATAAGAGTTTGAGTTAGTCTTTTTGGAAGGGTAAGAAAACTTGTCTGAACTTTCTAGTTTGTTTATTGACTGGACTTTCTTGTTCTAAGTATGCTCTGTGTTGATGGGAATATGAATTGATTTATTGTTCTTTTATCATTTTAATTAAGAGGGGAAATTGGCACAGCTTTGCTCTGCAACTGTGATTTGGACAGTTTCTATAAATCTAAGTATGTTTTTACAAAACTTAAGATGTACCTTTTCAACTGGGAAAAAATTCTCTCAGTGGTACATGAGAGATAATCATGTAAAATCAGGTTCCTTCTCCTCCTAGTGCTCCCAGTGGCATTTGAAAACAACCAATCAGAGCCAAGAAAGATAGCTTGATTGCTGAGTCTCGTTCCTAGGGACCCAAAACGTTGGTATTTGATGACGTACCACTGTCAGGATATAGAGAAAATTTAAGCAAATATGACGAAAAGTATTTTTTTAATAAAAGTTACCTACTTCCGCTTTAAGTTGTAAAACTGCAAATGCAATGCAACTTCTCTTTTTGCTACAGCTACCACATACCAAACATGAATTGCAAAACATTTAACAACTAAGTGGAGATTTCATGTGAATGTGTCAGAATATGCAGAGGTACTAAACATTTGCAGCTGTGATACACTGCAGGAATGTGCAAATGTAAGGTTGAAATATCTCTGCAGGGTCAGCAGTTGATACCTTGTTACAGTGTCATATCGAACAATTTGAGGCTCCATTAATATGTGGTGCAGCAGTCCAATCTTCAAGTCCTTTTTCATTGTTGCATTGTAACATTGTAGTCAGGAGGTGAGGTTGGCTGAGTCCTCGCTGTAGCGGCCCAGGGTTCAGATCCAACTTGTGGCCTTTTGCTGCATGTCATCCCCTCTCTCCCCACCTTTCCTATCACCATTAATCAAAAAGGCCAAAAAAAAAAAATAACAACATTGTAGTGATTGCAAAGGATTTTTATCTCAGGTGAGAATAATAAAGTAAGTGTGATGTGACCTGGTTTTAATAAAGAAATGGGGTAATATTACTAAATGATTCCAGGTGTTAACTTATAACTTGATACATTGTGTTGATAAAGAAGACAACTGTTTTGTTTTTTTCTAACAATGCATCAAAAATTTTGTATAACTGTAATAAGTAATAGTTCTGATGGGACAATGTCCATTGTATGCCGCACATAAATATAACTGAAAGCTCAAGTGTAACAAAAAGAAAGTCAAGTCAAGACAAATGTTTTTTATTTCTTTATTAAACCAATATCTAACCATTCACAAAGATCAAAATTCACATACTCTAGGCACAGTTTCTTATTTAGTGCTGTGCACGATTGTCCAAAGTAAAGCAAAAAAGGAAGTGAAAAAACACAAATTGCACATCCACAGTTTGAAGAAATAAAGTTAAAAAAAAAACAGACACAGAGGTATGAATGGGTATGAGCATGAGCATATTTTTGAATATTTGTGATTATTCGTGTATGTTGTGTTCTGCATTTTGGAGTGAATTCCTGTCATTTACTGTCAACACACAGAAATAACACAATCCCAAGTAATCAGTAGTCAAACAAATAAATTACAGAGAATACTGACAAACTGACAAAAACCTTTCAAAGAATTCATATCTATCACAAACAAAACAAGACAAATCATGGTCAAGAACAAAGAATCAAAAGATAGTTTAACTGCCAAATTGTGGGAAAAACTGCAAAGCATTTCTTCCATTCTGTTCTGGACTGAAATATGGTTTGAAATTGGAATAAAAACTCGCCTGAATATTTTACTGTCGGATGAATGTGTAAAGAATTGTATTAAGATTAAGTTGTGTTTAAAAGTAACATAAAAAGACTAACAATAACTTAACTGTATGACGACCCAAATACATAACCCAACATTATGTACTGATAGCTGAGAGTAAATGCAGTGTACAATGAAACTAATACGTTCTTATGTGCCCAGTATACAGTATATAACTGTAAAGCAAAAAAAGAAATGAGTGAAAAGTGAATACAATTCTGCAACCTAAAGCCTCTTTGTTCCAGAAATTACTCCAGCCATGTCATGATATATTGTATGTGGACGGATATAAGAATAAATGCACAATGTAAACATACAAGAATTATGACAACTGAGATATTTGTATCTTTTTTTTTACCTCTGCTCTCCAAAACCAAGAGCATTCACAAGAAACCTTTCTTCTTACATATCATAACCAATGACTTAGACTCCACTGATGTATTTAAATGCAGATGTAATGCATAGCATTCAATCATTGAAAACCATTTAACTTGACCTACATTGTACCTTTTCTTCACCACAAATATAGTAAAAAATTACCATCAATACGTCATTACTGTCGCCTTTATTTATGCACATTTCTTACATTGGGTACAATAAGTACCCAGAAAATGTGGAGTGGACATATTGACCAGCATAAAGTCCTGCAGCCTGGTCAGATGGCAGCTGTATATTTACAGTGTCTCCATTTCGTAACGGGAGTACAGCACTCCCTGACGCCTGATCCAGCAAGCCCTTTTTGTATTCATCATATGTGTACATTACTGGCTCATTGTTCTTCATCAGTGCCACCCACACATTACCCCCCTTGCAGTGGACGTGGTAAGCAAAGTAGTAGATCCCTGGTATGCTACAGGTGAAAATACCGGTTTGGGGATTGTAGTCCTGATTGCCATTGTGCAGGAGTTTGTCGAAGATGACAGGAGAGCCAACAGGAGGGAACGGATTTGTGAGCTTAGCTGTGAACGCAGGCATCTCCAGGCCGTTTCCACCAATTTCGCCTCCGTTCTTTTGTTTCTTGTAACCTTGGCCATTGTATGGACCACTCACAGGGAGGATCTGTCCGAGGTCAGGAGATGTAGCAGGTAGCCCTGGAGGACCAGGGGGTCCAGGTGGTCCTGGTTGCCCTGGAAATCCAGCGGGGCCACTTGGGCCAGTGTTACCTTGAGGACCAATATGACCCGGGAGTCCTGGCTTTCCCTCACCAGGATAGCCTGCTTTACCAGGTAGACCTATTTCGCCTTTTTGCCCTGGAAGCCCAGGAGGTCCAATTGGTCCCCCTGGTCCTGTAAGCCCTGGAATACCTTGTGGTCCCTGGTGGCCTTTCTCTCCGGGTTGCCCCCCCTCTCCTCTTGGTCCAGATAGTCCTCCATTTCCAGGGGCACCAGGTAGACCCCTCATACCAGATGCTCCTTTGGGGCCAACGGGCCCTTGAAAACCCCTTGGTCCTGGTTGTCCACCTGCTCCTGATAAACCATGCTGTCCTGGAAGACCTGGAGGCCCTATTTCACCCTTCATTCCTGGATATCCTTTTTGTCCCGCAACACCATCCTCTCCCTTTTGCCCTGGGAAGCCAAGACTACCGGGAGGCCCTATTGGACCTGGTGGGCCAGGCATACCACTAGGACCTGTCGGACCAATGACCCCAGGAATACCTCCATGACCTTTATCACCTTTTAGGCCTGGAGGTCCAGGGAGACCAGCATGTCCCTTGTGACCCTTAGGTCCTGGAAACCCTGGTTTACCATAGCCTGGCAAGCCTGGACCCCCTGGTAAACCAGGAGGGCCCAGTTCGCCTTTCCCTCCAGGGAGCCCTGGTTGCCCTCTGAAACCATCTTTTCCTGGTTTTCCAATTCCTGGCAAGCCTGGTGGTCCTGGTTGCCCTCTATCACCAGGTGGCCCTGCCAGCCCTGGCTCTCCAGAAGGACCAGGCTTTCCTGGTATCCCTGGCTGTCCAGGGAGACCATTCAGACCAGGTTTACCAACCCCAGGGTTGCCCACATTTCCAGGTGGCCCTGGTGGTCCGTTAGGTCCTTTTAAACCTGGAAAACCAGGTAGACCAAGTCCTTTGTCCCCCTTAGGGCCTGGAGGACCAGGAAGTCCAGGTATTCCTTTTAGGCCAGGCTCCCCTGGCTGACCTGTGTGTCCAGGCAGCCCCTGACCTCCTGCTTTTGAAATCCCAGGGAGTCCAGGGGGACCTGGGAGTCCTTGAGGCCCAGGAAGTCCAGTTGGTCCTTCACCACCACCAGGACCAAGGTCACCTTTTGGTCCTGGTAATCCGGGTCCTCCAGGTTTTCCTGGCAATCCTGGCATGCCAGGTTTTCCAATTCCTGGGTATCCTTGAGGACCAGTAGGCCCCGGCTTTCCTGGCATCCCTGGCAGTCCCTGGCCTGGTAGACCAGGGGGGCCTTTTGGTCCTGGTGGCCCTGTTGGTCCAGGGGGGCCCTGTACTCCTTGTGGTCCCTCCCTGAGACCTTCTCCTCCAGGACCAAGGGGAGGTGGACCTTTAGCCCCTCTGGGGAATGTTTGTCCTGTGAAAAAAAAGGAACATTTCACTACATCAATCAACACTGAAAACAGATCCATCACAAATGGTCCTGATGTGATCTGATATCCTATTTATTTGTGTTATCAAGAAAACTCAAACTCAAACTCAAAAAAACACAAAAGACCCTATCTACAGCCAGTGTTTGGTTTGTCCATTCTGGGCTACTGTACAAATATGGCGTTTCAACATGGTGGCCTCCATAGAAGAGGCCCTTTAATCAGGAGCACGTCTATCAATTAGTTGATCAAAAGTTTCTTTCTTCTATTTCAGCTAAAGATATATATATATATATATATATATATATATATATATATATATAATGATTGTAAACTACACAACTAGATTGTAGGACTATAATCTATTTTATCGTACTGTTAACTAATAAAAGCAACCAGTAATAATAATAAATAAATGTAATCCAATAACAAACAGCATATAATGTTTGTAGTTTAAAGACTTGAATACAATAAAGAACTTCATAACTTCTTTAACCTCCATCAACCACCATAACTGACTTTGGTACACATTTTCAGACAATAATGAAAACATAATTAAATTGTCTGACCAGTAGTATATTAGTTAAATTACTTATCGAATCAAACATCAAGAATAACATATAGCAGTTTTCCTCGAGTTGACCTCACCTTTGCCATCAGTCAGTGGTCTCTCTTTGCCCATCTGTAAAGGCAGCTGAGGAAGCTCTTTCCCATACTGAGGCAGTAATGGCCCTTCTTTGCCATAAGGCAGGTGTGGCATCTCGTTCCCCATAAACTGTTGCTGAGGATACCCATCATTGTACTGTGGCAAAGGCTGGTGCTGTTGAGGCGGCTGTTTGTGTCCATAATACGCCCCGCCATGGGCGAGGCGTGATAAACACAGTTGGGACACTGTGATGAGCAGATAGAAAGACTGGAGGGGTATGGCCACCATTTTCTGCAGTAGAGAAGGAAATAAGTAAACATGTAACACAGTGTCGTATAGTATGGAAGTGTGAGTACACCATTATTTGTATCTGTATCTGTTCAACAAACTAAATTATCTGTATTTGTATTCATATTCATAATGGGTGAACCAGAGGAGGGTGGGACTAATTGTAAATTGTATGGATACTGACACATTTTACCCTCCGACTAGAAAAAAGTAGGCCACATTTTCTGTACCGGATACTCTTTTGCAACTCCTAACTAATGGAAAATGTAATTTTAGTTTAATTCAAAATGTAAAGTTTTGAGAGACATTTGAATTGATGACCAGTGGTTGCCTGACAAGGAAAGTCTGTATGATTCTCTGGCTCTGGTAACTGATTAAAGACAATGCAGTAAACCCCAAAAATCTGGCTTAAAATGTCCATTTGGAAAGCTATAAATGTCACAGATGTTTTGATTTTGATCCATATTAATCTGTATTAAAAATCTGTGTGGGATGAGAGAAATTTAAAGAGGTTAGGGGATCAGTAGGGGAAGTTTTGGGGGATGGCACTGTGGGAGTACCCGAAGAGAAGACCAATTCTTTAAATAATAAATCAAGTTTAAAAATAATATGGGTGGAGGTCTGCAGTCTCTTTAAGCATTCAGTTCAATTCAATTTTATTTGTATAGCGCCAATTCATAACAGAAGTTATCTCAGGACACTTTTCAAATAGAGCAGATCTAGACCGAACTCTTTATAACATTATTTACAGAGACCCAACAGTACCACCATGAGCAAGCACTTGGGGACGGGGGCAAAGAAAAACTGCCTGTTAAGAGGCAGAAACCTAGGACAGACCCTTTGGCTCTAGGTGGGTGGTCGTCTGCCTCGACCAGTTGGGGTGAGAGAGAGAGAGAGACAGAGAGAGAGACAGAGAGAGACAGAGAGAGACAGAGAGACAGAGAGAGAGACAGACAGACAGGTGCACAGCAACAACACTAGCAACAACTATACTAATAGTAGTGACTGATGAACATGACAACCCCACAGATTCAGAAATACTATCAGCGGTTTTCAGCATTTAATTTGAGTGTTTTTGAGTGAATTTTGAGTGTTCTCCTAATTCTGTGTAATTGTATTTAATTGTTGGCACTTGTGCTCGTTAGCATAGCAACACCCAGAGTCCTGTATTTAAAAGGTTGTACCAGGAGACTTGAAAGAAAATCAAAGCAGCAGAAGTCAAGACATCCTGACTTTGAACGATCAGTGCTCAGATCTAGATGTGAAGTTTCAGGTTGCAACCATTAGAATACAGCTTCCAGGTGTGTAGGAGAAACTGTGGCCACAAAACTCACAAAAACATGATAGGCCCTATCTAGAGCCAGTGTCTGGCTTGTCCGTTCTAGACTACTGTAGTACTGGCAGTTCAACATGACAACCTCCATGGAAAAGGACCCGCTCCTTCTGTAGATAAACAGCTCTTAAGGTAATGAAAACACAATGATTCTTATTATCAGGTGATTACACGCTAATTAAAAAACATACCTATGAAGATTATATTCCAGTTGTGCCAACAGATTCTCCTAAATGTTACATGCTGGACCTTTAAGTCTTTTATATTGTTTTGAAAGTTTGATTTAGTTTTTATGTTTTAACTGAATTTGCACTTTGTGTCCAGTTTTTGTTCTTTAAACTTGTTTATATGTTGTTATATTGTTTAAATTTAACTGTGAATCAATAAGGATTTAAATGAAAAGAAAGAAAGCTGAACTTGTCACGACTAGTAAACTGATGTTAAATTGTAAAATAGGTGCAGTGCCCCTTTAAATGGTTACTGATGTTCCTTCTCTCACCACTTGAAGTCACTCAAGCTCATTGTTTGCAACCTAGAAGTCCTGCAGCCTGCCATTAAAGCAGAGAACCAGCATTCGTGTTCGACCAGCAGGCTGTGCTCTTCCATCTTGCAGCTGAGTCAAGAAATAATTTCAAAAGCCAACACAGCGGCTCTTATGAGACCCACTGTGGTCAAACCAATAAAGAAACAAAAACCCCTCCGCTGCCTGACTTTGGTCAGTCTCCCTGTCGTCCTTACTTCCTCTTGTTTACACATCTTTTCAAACATACTGTGTAAAAGCCCGAGTCTCATATCCTTGAGGTGAATTACACAGAGCACATGCTGCTAAATCCTATATTGTAATTAAGAGGCCCCACAGGGGACGTGGTCACTTTTGAACATAATCCTTAATCCTTTAAACATGTCTGTGCTAAAGAGATTGGTTAAGTGCTGCCAAGAGCACGGTGCAAAAATAAACGGCGATGGGTGAATGTATGTTTTCCTCTGCTGTGGTATTTGTGCGTCCTGAAACAGTCCCAAAGAGATCAAAGTTTTTGGAGAGCCAAAATAATGGAAATAAGACTTGCTTACATTCTGAGCAATTATCTTAAAAAAAAAAAAAAAAAAGGCAAGCTAAGTAATGTCTGGCTGAATATGTTAAATGTAGAATATTTTTAGCACACATTTCCTAATCTGCGTATTATTTAGATCTTAATTTATTGAGATTTTATTGCTAAAAATTTTATATTCTCAGAAAATTGTACAGAGTTTGGTTGGTGGCTTTACTTTACTTGTTTGGGTTTGTGGGTGGGATTTAAGACTGGTGACAGCATTTCTAAATGTATAGCTGTGGCCCTGATTATCAATCATATCAATTTCATATTTACTGTACTTTTGTGATGTTGTTGCAATTCCTAGTTTACCATCAACCCATGGGTACCTACATAAAGCAATAAATATAAGCCTCGATCCAATAACTGTTACTGGTTGCCGTTAAAATATCCCAATTGATTATGTTTTTGTACAATATTTCAATTTCAAATAGTAGATATTAATGTTAATGTTCAAAACAGAACTTGACATGCAATTCATCTTTTTTATTTGATTTGATTTGTATTGAGTGCAGTGTTCATTCATCAGTTTACAGCCACCAAGCAAAACGACAAATTCTCTTACTTTCTGATTTTTCCTCCTCTCAAACTGAAGGTTGTCTCTCCCTCTGGCCGGCGCCTCTTTCCTCTGGTTTCTCCTCCTCTTCCCCTCTCTTTACGCCGCTTTTCTGGGTCTTTTCCAAGGCATGAGTGGGACGGTGGCCATGCACAGGATCCAGCCAGGTGTTAGCTGCAGTCCTGCTGGGATCTGTGAAAATATGAATGTCAGGTTAGATGAATGTCAGGTGGTGACCTTTCGCAGAGGCCTGGGGTTTGTAACACTAAGCTGCAATGTCCACCTGGTAGACATATTTTGGCCTTGATAAAGTTATGCTGAGACACGCCTTTTTCCTTGAGGAATGTAGGAACGGGGGTATTAAAAATAAATGTAACAGGACAGTAAAATCATAAAACTGTATCTTTGCAACCTGTCTCAGAGCTAAGTATTTCCAGTTGACAACCAACATAATCCTCTCTTCAGTCCCCTATCTACTGCAGCCCACACTGCAGACAAATCCCCAACGCTCTTTAGAGGTGTGTACACTACATAATCCAGTGTAAAAAGACACAAATAAATAAATAAATAAGTGAATAATTATACATATATTTACAAGATATACACACAATAATATGTATATGCATATGGAAATGAAAACCAGATTAACATGTGAATAAAATAAGATAAATAAAAAGGAGCAGTTTATAAGTTTTATAATTTAAGTTTTATAATTTAAGTCATATGGGAATTTTTCCTTAGTCACATTTCAGTATTGTACATCATAGCCAGTGTTAAATCATACAGTAAAAATACATTCATATAAATAATGTCAAGAAAACTACACTGAAGGGGACTATGTAGAAACTGTCTTAAAAAGGCATAACTTCAAATGAAAGACTCAATCATCATTAATCACACCTCTGACTGAACGTACTCTCAAAGTGAAAGAAGCTGTATACGATGTATAAATCCAGCACCATGGACAGAGCCTGAACACTGTAAAGTCTGTACACTCTGTGACTGACCTCTGATCTATTTCACTGTTTGTCAACTTCATAACCACAGCAGCAGAATATGGATTTAACATTACAGGATGAAGGTATCATTCCTCCATAGCTCCTGTGTTAATGAAAATGCACACAAAGTATTTTTAAGTTTGAGAATTTTGGGGTTTGCAGCACAGACACATACAGAATGTGTATGCCGTAATGCAGTATATTATATTATTACATTTTAAAAATTTTAACACGGTAGTTGTCCCTTTTCATTTTTTATTTTTATGTATCTTTAATTTATTATTATTACTTGGACTTTCTTTAACTGTTTTTTGTTCCTTATTTGTATTCATATATAAGCTAAATTCTATTTTTTATGTCTGCCTTGTTTGATTGATGTTATGAATGTAGTTAAATATAGATTTTTAAAATATTTTTTCTATCTTGCACATCTTGCAGGGCTCCTTTAAAAAAAACTAAGCTCACTGCTATCGTTTATGCTTTGGCTTAACTTCAAAACAAGCGAGCATAAGACCATTAGTTGATCATATAATTAATAAAAAATAATAGAGAAATGATGCAATTCCTTCGCTACTTTTTAAACTAGTGAAATGCACGTCAAAACAGTTCGTACTTTAGATTTAACTGGCATGTCTAAACTATTCCACACAAGGCTGTGTGGCTGCACGAGCACACCCGGATCGACTCATTTAATCAACTGATTTCAGTCTTCATGTGCTGGTTGGTTGGAACAGAAACCTGCAGCCACACAGCTCTATACAGAATAGTTTGCATGTGTCAGATCTAAAGTACTAACTGGCTGTAAAAAGGCCAAGAAATGTGGGGGGCTTAGCGAAAGGACGAGAAAAATGGGACAATGAAACAGGGGCAAACATAGAGGGGTGGCATGCTTTGCCACTCCAGTTCGTTGACAGATTTAAGACATTAATTAAATCAGCATATATTTCTATTTCCTTAATGTCTGCATACCACCCTCTGGCCACCCCAAGAATATTTATCCAGATCTGCTCCTGCACTGAAAAGTTACAATCTGAAAGTTTAATTGAAAACAGCTTGTCAACTGACTAAAACTCGGTCATGTAAGTGTTTCAGTGCCACATACAGCTATTATGGCCAGACTAAATAGCGTTTTTATGTGTTTCCCAAGTGCTGGAGCAAATTTGTCAAACATCTTTTTCAAATATAAATCCACAAGGGATTGATCCTCAAGTATTGATCTTTTAAATTGAACATGATTTCACACATGGGGATGTTGAACTGATCATCGCTGTAGTCAAAACCCTCTTGTACTCCCACAATGCAACAAATTCTCTGCAGATAAAGGAGGAACATATGCTTGGCGAAGAAACGAGACTACAATAAGTCAGCAAAACAAAGAGGACAGGCCTGTGCTTTGAAACACATGTTTCCCTCCAACCTGCAAGGATACGTCAGTCTTCATGGTGTACAGAGACACAGCAGACAAAAACACATCTTACTCCATTTACTGGATGAGCTGCATGAGTAACAGAGCTCATTTGGGAAGTTGGATGCAGCTTTTGGCAGAACTTCAACTTCATTTTTTATTCTTAAACTGGATCCTGATTAGCTTCCATAAAGTGGTCACTAGTCTTGGGTCCACACAAGAACAGAAACAATAAAAAAAAACATTTTAAAACAATTTAACGCAGTATTAATTAAACAAGAAAATGCATAAATCAATACAAAATAAGAAAAAATATAATATAATAAAGCATTAGTTGCATGCCACAAGTCTAAGAATATTACCAAAGAAAGTGACTTTTTAAAGCTCTGGGTAGTGTCTGCAGGTACTAATTTCAGGTTTATATCCCAGACGGTCTTCACTTATAAGATATGGTGGCTTGTGTACAGCCTAAGAGCCAAAACCCAGGGCTACAATATAATATTCGCCCCACATATGGTAAAACTGAAGGTGAGTCAGATGCAAATTGCACCAAGACTAACCCCTCAAAATCATTTTTTTAATGAGTACAGAGAAACTTTTGAATGCGAAAACATCCCCCTAGTGTCAAACTCTGCACATGCATCAATCTGCAGCTGCAGAACTGAGTCAACAGCCTAACACAAACTGTCTAAACATTCATCCTTTAAGAACATGTGTTATTGTGTCCAGCGGCCAATGGAGAGTCTTAGCTTGGTTGCGGTATCACATACACAAACATGGTGCTTGTTTTTTAAATAACAGTGGTTAAAAAAAATGGATCAATCTTGTGGTATTTGTACTTTAATATTTCCATTGGAACATTATGCCTGAGTGCTTCTTGCATGTGAAAGCAAAAATGCTATTTACTCCAATGTAGCTACCAATTACTTTGAAGAGAGAGGCTTTGATTACAGAAAGTCCATATCATCAGTCATCTTTTGGTTTCCAGACAGTGTAATGGGAAGGCAATTGTCTGGACCACAGGCTGAAACTGGGAAAAGTATTGAATTATGAGGACATTACACTCTCTGTATGTTTAGCTTTGAGTACTCTGTATGGCAAACGTTTCAACGCAACAAATAAAGGTGTTTAGCTAAATCATCCATGTCTGGCTTGGGGTCAGGTAGTTAAATATGCCTGTTGTGGTTCTTTAACAGGTAATTAACTGTTGTAGCACAACATGAACTTTCAATTGTATCTTATTGATCAGACAGTGTAGTGATGATGGGGCAGGATTGATTGAACTATTTAAAGTAATAGCTCTGTGGAGGAGAAATTCCACGTCATTTCTGATCTTTCACGGTCTGACAAAATAACTCTTACCAGAATTTGCTGGAGAGTTTAGTCTGGGATATCATCAAGGCACTGAAGTTTAGGCATTCACATGGTGTTGGAGACTGATCAGAGACCATTAGACAAAAATTGTAAATGAAAAGTGAATCTTCTAAGATTTTGTTTCAATAAATGCAGCCCAAACGCATGTGGACATATCAGGAGCTGTATGTTTTCCGTGGTTTACCAGTTTAATAAAACAAAGAAAACATCAGAATAGGGCCAGTAAAACAACAGAGTAAAAGTTTTTGCTTCAGCACTTACTACTAAAAACCCCAATGATCATATAAAACTGAACCCTTTTTGCTTTCAACCTAAAAATGGCCTACAGTAATTGCTGTAAATCATATAGTTTGCTCATCACCCAAAACATCCCCTAACCCTAACCTGAACAAAAGAGATGATTACTTAATGCAAGAGTGCTGTTCAGCAACCTCAGTTTAGTCAATACAGTCTGCAGATATTAGAAATTAAACTGGAGTTTAAGTCAGGAGTTAGTTACATGAACCACAGACGAAGCTATCACCAGCAGCCACTTAGCTTTGCTTAGCACAAAGACTGGAAAACAGGGGGAAACAGGGGGAAACAGCTAGCCCAGCTCTGCTCAAAGGTAACAAAACCTGCCTACTTGTGCCTCTAAATCTCACTAATTTGTACAAAAAACTAAATGTACAAAGGTCAAGTTGTGGGTTTTAGGGGTATTTTTTCTTCTTGGAGTATTGCTAACCAGCTGAGCATGATGATAATAAAGACTGTATGACCTTTTTGTGATCAACATAAGACATGAAAGACTTTATTTCATCTTGTATATCAAATCAGAGGTTTATGGCTGCAGGTCTGTAGTCTGTAGTCTGTAGTGTGTAGTCTGTAGTGTGTACGGACCAGATAAAATGTATTTTCATTCAACTGGAGAAGGTTTCCAGACTTTCTGAGAAGAGAAAGTGTTTACCTCTGTTGAACCACCTTAGTTTCTTCTACACACTTCACAGCCCGTTCACATTCCCAGGTCGTCAAATACAGACGCAAACGGTGTTCAGTCAGTTGCAGTGTGTAACTTCACTGCGTGAGACTAAACAGGGTTAACAACTGTCTTGCTTATTTCTTCTTTGCCTTTTTATTGTGCGCATGAACTCGACTTTGATGAAACCTCTTCAGACACCTCACTACCACTCGCTTGATGACAATCCCATGCAACAAAGATTGCCTGCCCCAGAATGGATGCTGGTTCCTCTGAACCTCTTTGCCAACAGTTACAACCACAGTCGGCTCCACTTGGTGATGAGCCACAAGTCTTTTATCACCTCCAGCTTGCCTTTGAAAATAATCAAATTTCCATTTCTCCTCTGTGTTCCTCTCCTGACCGATTCCAGATGGGGGACTCTCCCGCTCGATAAACAAACGATGAGGAACGAAGGCAT